TAGACCAGAATCGGAATCTTTATTGACACTGGAGGAATCCGATGAGCCATAAAGCTCTTTTTCACAGATGTCCAGACCGACTACATCGTGTTCACGTAAACACACACACACACACAAAGATCCCCCCGTAAAGCCTTCAAACAGACTGTTGGGGCGAGTGCTGTTAGCGAGCACCTTATGAAGGCCGGCACGGCGTTAAAACCCGCCACCACCCGACAGAGCCAACTAGTAAGGGTTCAATCTTGATTTTAAGCTTTCGTGACTGCAGGAATCCATACTCTTTGGTTCTTTCGGTGAAGTCACGTAGGTATAAAATAAAATGAATCACGACGTTTTGATCGCAACACAAGCGGTCGTCCTCAGGCGGAAAAAAATATAATTCAGCAGTGGAACTGCTGAACCAGCGAGAGAGCTTCATTAGACCTCCTTTGCGTCATCTGGTCGAGCAGCAATTGGGTCGAGGCTCAAAAGAAAGCCGTCCCTTGGTGTGGACCAATCCGTTTCAAGGACAATGCATCATATTATCATAGTATGTTTTTTGTTTGCATTTTGACTGCAGGTATTGTGGTTAATGCAGACATGAATCCTTGTAAAAAGGTTTCAGTTTTGTTGCCAGAAAAAAAGGGGAAAAACCCTATTATTACAGCGAGAGAGCTGTTACGCTTGTGTTGCGATCGAAACGTCGTGATTTATTTTATTTTATACCTACGTGACTTTACCGAAAGAAGCAAAGAGTATAGTAATGGTTGTCACGTCAACAGAACATGGCCAATTCGTCACTAGTACAGCAACACCGGTGTATTGGAGAGCCAAGCCACGACATTTACAATTAGTGGTCTGCGCTCCTTCAACGGAGGAGGAGGAACAGCGAATGCACACGAACTCTCTCTCTCTGCTGAAGCCCTCTCGTCGTGGCGAGAATAAAATTTCATATTGTTTAACCAAATGGCAACTACAGCACTGCTTGGCAGTTCGGTCGAGTGGTATAGACTCTCTCTCTCTCTCTCACACTCTCACTCACTCCCAAGCCGAGGGACGTCAATGTCAAATCTATAAGCGTCCAGGAAGTGACAATTTGGCAATTGTCGTCAGCGAGCTAACGTTTGGAGAGGCACAAATAAACAGAACGCGTGCCAGCACGCACGCAGTCGGCAGCCCGACATCACGAACGTCACAGGCTGCCCTGAGCATAACGTGATCCACGTGCACGACATATACATTATCACGTGCACGACATATACATGACCACGTGCACGACATATACATGACCACGTGCACGACATATACATGACCACGTGCACGACATATACATGACCACGTGCACCACATATACATGACCACGTGCACGACATATACATGACCACGTGCACCACATATACATGACCACGTGCACGACATATACATGACCACGTGCACCACATATACATGACCACGTGCACGACATATACATGACCACGTGCACGACATATACATGACCACGTGCACGACATGTACATGACCACGTGCACGACATATACATGACCACGTGCACGACATATACATGACCACGTGCACGACATATACATGACCACGTGCGTGACCGCTGGTCGTCACTAATGACGCTCGCACACAAAAATCAACGCGAGTCGCTTTGCCAAACACGACTGACACTCCTGAATTGTAACAACAACAAAAGTGGTTCGCCATATATCACCTGGAAAATATAGATTCAGGGGGCTTTAAAAAAAATGTTAACACTTCTGAGAATTTGCAACTTTACCACAAAATGTGCTGCTACCTCCGGGCTTTGGAGACCACCGGGAGAATATTCCAGGCACGTGTTGACAATGATGGAGAACAAGTAAAATACTCTTGACTTTTTGAAGCTAACATACATTTGTTATCATGTTAGAGTGTATTATCCGTTCTTGTTCCATTAAAAACGATAGTCCAAAAGTGTTAACATTGTTTCGAAGCACCGTGTGTGTATATTTAAAAAAGCATCCCTCACAGCTAGCCTACGAGTGACCTTGTACAATGACTGGGATATGATAATGCACAGCCATTTGTCAATACAGTACGACACTTGATGTAGGCCTCCCCGCAATGTGTGGTCATGGGGGTTTCTTGACCATACTTCACCACACTGGTCAGTGCATCAAGGTGAATTTCTGTCGCACCGTACGTAGCCAACAGCGCGAATCAAAGGTGCCGCTGATGTTACAGCCACAGCTGATGTATGTTGTTGTTGTTACTGCTCCCGTCCCATAGCAAGCGTGGTTTTCATTTACCAAGGAACAACTTCACCGAGACTGAAGACAAATGTTTAATGTTGGTTTATAGATCGGGTTTGTGTGCAATTCCAATTCTACTCGAGTGTTTGGCTTCATGTGGGAGGTAATTGCCAAAATCCACGCAACACCACAGGGCAACATTGACCAGCTCCACACAGATGGATTCAATCAATTGTTCCACTACCGTCTCCTGGTCACGTCGCGGTTGAATGTGATGACAGCAAGCTCCCGACTGATTGAACCACAGGTGGCTGGCAAGACTTTGTCTCGGTTCTCAGCCCCTCAATGCCACCAATATCAACTCCAAAAAAACCCCTCCTCTTTGGCCTTTATGCATAATCCAGAGAGCACGCATCTCCTCCACGTTTCTTTGCGCACTTCTCGGCTTCTGTTCCCATTTCAGTTCCCCAGAATTGATGGCCCCCAGCAGCAGCACGGGAATAAGAAGACATCTGTTCCAGGGACTCCGGGCAGCCAGTGGAGACGATCGCTACTGTGAGAGACAAACAACCAGCCCCAGGGCTATCGAATTCAGGATCTCGGCAGTGCCGAGAATCTCTGATGAAGGCATTGACATCGGCGCATCGGACACTCACGAAAGACGCGCGCGTGCTTTTCTTTTATCACTTCAACAGGTACACAATGGAATGTCACGTGTCCTCTTGATACTCGCCATAGGAATGTGGAACCACCAGCACGAGCTATGGGGCTGTAAAACAGATGAGCGCCGCCTAAAAAAGCTCCGACCCCCGCACCTCCGATGAGCACGGTTAGCTACGTACGGTGCGAAAGAAATTCAACGTACATACGAGCAGGAAATCCCATTGACTGGTGGCGCAGTGGTTAGCGCGCTGCGCTCGAAACGGCGACACGAATCCATTCAAGAATTGATGATCGTCTCGCGTTGCCGCCTTGATTGCATTCTGAATCATTGCCACGCCATTTCCGCGAGGTTAATTTCTAAATGGGCGTGTAATTTTTGTACACCGTTAAGCATAAATTCTTGCACGCACGATGTGACGCCTGTATTGTAAGAATTGATTTTAAATGCATAAATCAATTAATCGCTACGCGCCTACTTAGAATATATTATTTATATCGGCAATTTATATGGTACAGTGAGTGGTAAAGTGCACTCACTGCAACTATGAACCCGGCCACGGCTGACAATCGATGCCCCGCCATAGCTGACAAGTCACGGGCACCCCCCCCCCCCCCGACCACATTCACCAAAGTGGTGAAGTATGGTCGAACACCCTAGAAGCGATGTAGCGCCGGGGGAAGCGTTCAACCCCAAGTAACAAAAACAATTATAATCATGTACAGCCACATTCACGCACGAGGCACGATTAGACCGGGATTTTCTCACAAAGTTAAACGATAATGACCAAGTCGGCAATGTGTACGATTTGTCCTCAACGAACACGGCTCTCTGCACACTGCATTCAACGCAAACTCAAACGCGCAGAAGAATCTCCCCCCCCCCCCCCACAATCCTTCGCGTCTCCAGGACACTTTTAAATGTTCACGGTCTGACACACAAAAAAACACAGTGAAGAAGCACACGACGCCCGGGCGTTTATTGTATCCATAAATGTTTATTATCTGTAAATATATTTTAAACCATCTTCAAATAATCGTTTTTTTTTTTCTGGCTGGCTATTGTGCCCACCCAACCCCCCCACCCACCCACCCACCGCCCGCCCGCCCCGTTAAGTGGATGGATGTCGATAAAGAGGAGGAAGAGGAAGGGGGTGGTGGTGGTGGGGCGATGGCGATTTCTCGCGTCACTGTACAATCGGTACACACACACTGCGGCGGCGGCGGTGGTGGTGGCAGTGGTGCCAGCGAGGAAGGGAAGAGACGGCGGGTTCACACTCGCTCACAAACGCTAGCGACTCATTATGTACAACACCTTCCCGGTCGAGAGTGAGATCACGGGCGGCGACAGTGGGGGGTTACACCGGTGGGAGGGTGGTTTTAGAGCTGGTATAAGAATAACAATAATAAAAACAACAGAATGCATGCCATTATACATCCCACCGAGAAGGAGCAAATCCCCATCAGCAATGCCCCTTGCGTTGCCACATACAGCATCAACCTACGCACCCCCCCCCCCCATCCTATCACAATGAACTCACCACGCACACCACCCACCCACCTTGACGAATGCAAGCCCCCCCCCCCACACCGCGGGTTTGAAATGTTAACGCAAGTCAGAGAAAGGTATGCCCACTACGCGTAACAATAAAGCCGAACGAATTATACACTTACTATTAATAATAATAAACAGAGCGGGGAGGGAGAGGGGAGGGGGGGCGAAATAAAGACGAAAAAAGTGGTAACTTGGCAGCTGTAAACGATGATAACGTTGTTATTACAAGTGGCTAAATAAAGCTTTGATGAGTTACGCGCGCACCCCCCCCCCCGCCCCCCTCCTCCGATATCAGGATGCGTTAGAACAGGAGGAGAACGCGCTACGTGGGCACCAGGCGACAGCGCGAGTGTGGAGAGGGGGCCCCACGCACACGGGTGTCGACCGCGACCGCTCACACATCTGCACGACTGGGTCCTGCAAACGTAGAATCTTGCGCCCACTGTCTTCACAGTCTCAATAACAATACCTGCGGCGCCATATGCCCGGCACACAATACATCATCGTCATCATCACGTTCGTTTGTCAACTCCCGAGGATTTGTTTTTTGTAATAGATTTTTTTTTTGTTTAACAAACATTTTTAATATTTTTCATTTTTTTTGTTATTTTTTTGCTTTTTTTTATATTTTAAGTCTCTAAAAATAACGCCCACGCACTATGTATCCATTTTTTTAATTATCTGCATCGTTATTAATATTAAGAAGATTTTGGTCTGAGTAGACTTCAAGACGCTTCTGCAAAGTCACAAACAACCTTTTTTTTTTACACATCTTGATTTTATGAAAACACATCATCCTGCACTTGACATTGTACCCCTTGCTTAATCTAACCTTTTAAAACGGATGATAAAAAAATTCAGCGGGTAGTATCACCACCACCATCATCATCATCATCAATCGTCATTGTGTTTAACGTTTCGTACTCTAACAGTAGCAAAAGATAATAACAAACATACTAAAATAAACGGAAAAAAGAGTTTACTCTGAAGTGCAAAGCAGCATTGGCCGTTTCGTTTGTTTTTAAATCATTCCCTCCAGGGTGCCTGATGGGTCGACCCCAGTGTTGACGCCTCGATCCCGAGTCTCTGGGCGCCACCCACAAGTGCAGACTGGCAGATTTCGTTTTTCTAAGATTCTTTTTTCTTTCCACGCGCGCCCCATCTCTCTCTTTTTTTTGCTCAAAAAAATGCACAGCTGTTTGGTCCATCGTATGTACATTTACCGGTGCGTTTTGGCGGCGTAGAGACACAACAAACGCGAGCACATGATCATCGTCAACATCATTATTGTTGTTATTATTATTACAGACAAAGTGTACCCTAAACAACGTATTTCAATGTTCGTTTTTTTTTATTTTGTAAATATTTTTTGTTTAACCGTGCGGAGGAGCTTTAAAAATCGGTATAAAAAAAACAAATACGTTACCGACGTGTGAAAAAAAAAATAACAACACAACGCAATACACGTTAGGAACAAAACAAAAAATGAAACAATACTTAAACCAAGCAGTACAAAGCTATTTCTAACCCTTTTTAGCGACACGATTTGAATAAGGGGAGGAGGTTTGTAAACCAGGCGGGTTCGAGTCTGACCCCGGCGCGCGGGAGCGGAGAGGCTCGTTGGCAGGGGGGGGAGTTAACGTTCAAGTGGATGGGGTTGCACGTTGCCACCGTGCCCTCTGCTCTCCGGGCGTGCGTGCCCGCTCATGCCCAGTCCGATTCCTTGCGCCTCTCATCCCACCGTTAGCTTGACTCTCGCGCCACTGCATCTGCCCGCATCTCGTCGGAACGACTGTTTCCGTTTGTTTGTATTTTACACATGGAGCTCCGTTCCCGATTTATCTCGCGCGACGTGGCCCGCCGACTTCCCCTCCTCCTCCTCCTCCTCGCCCCTCGCGGCCCGCAGGACGGCGCCGTACACCTGGGCCCAGCGGGAGGACCGAGGCCGCTGCGGTTCTCTTGACGTGGCGAGACTCACGTCGTGATTTGCCGGCGGAGGGCTGAACGCGCCCCCTTTGCCCGCTCCGTTCAGTTCATCCACTTGCGGCAGTTGGGTGCCCCGCAGTGGCACGGGATCTTGTGCTGGTCGTCCTCGAAGTCGAACTTGTAGTCGTAGGTCAACTGAGGGTCAAAGAGGGGTGGTGGGGGGGGGGCGATGGGAGACGGGAATTGTGGGTGAGCGGCAAGTGTCCGGGTTTGCGTGGTGTGCGAGTATGCGTGGTGCGCGGTTGAACGTGGTGTGCGAGTAGGCGCGTGGAGTGGAAGGCAGAAGAGACGGATGCGGGAAAAGACAAGGGGTAGGAGTGGGCAGAGGACGAAAGTCGGTTGTAGAAATTAATAATGAATACATCTGCTGTCATGTTGTGCACACGGTACGGCGCTTTTGTCAATCCACGGTTAACGGGAGCCTCTCTCCACGCGCCGGGCGGGGTCGTGGTGGCTATTTGACCACGCTTCATCATGCTGGTTAATACAAGTTGGCGAAGGCAGAGAGTACAGACATTGGAGAAAGGTTATAGCTCAACAATAAGATTTTTTTTTTGCTGAACTGCCCCCTGTCGACGTGACCACGCAACAGCTGTTATTATGCACAGCAGTTACTCATTCAAGCGTTGTCCAGGCTCAACCCCGCGCAGTTTCCAAGATCTCACAGATCGGGTGCGTTCCGGATGATTTGGTCAGTCCCTTTGGTACTATCCCTTCACTTGATTTGGTGGAGTACAGCTGTACCCCAGTGATCTGGAGGCGGAGCTCGTGAATCATCAAGTGTGACACTGCCAATGGCGGTGTCAGTAAGGGTGCCGACAGGACGCAGTGCAGAAAGTAGGTTGCTGTCCGATCTGCTTTTAGTTTAGGTGTTATCCACTCGCATGCAAGGGTTTTCTCTGGCCACTCTAAACTGTCATAAAGGGATTGATAAAACATCCTAAGTACGATCCACCGTAAAAATAATCCAGAGATTTCAAAAGACTCGTGGATCTTATTACTAAAACCACATCAGTCAATCTTGATATGAAGCTTTCGTGACTGGAGGAATCCATACTCTTTGGTTCTTTCGGTAAAGTCACGTAGGTAGAATAATAATAGATCACAACGTTTTGATCGCCACACAAGCAACCGTCTGAAGACTGTTGCTTCATAATAGATCACGACGATCGAAACGTCGTGATCTATGATTATTTTTCTACCTACGTGACTTTACCGAAAGAACCAAAGAGTACCACAACAGTCCTGTAACACTGAGCTCAGAGTGGAAGGCTACAACAGCTTCCTGATCTTTGTTCATAGCCACCCACAAGTGAATTGACTCTGAAGAGCAGCATGCAGTCCAGTCTGCTTATTGTCGAATGACATCACTCAAGGCACCAATATCTGATTCTTATCTCACAAGTTCTCCAGTATTGACAGAACATCACAGATGGGGGGATGCCTGCCAACGGAGGCCAGTCTCACCACAGCAACACTCTACTCCCCCACCCCGCCCCAAGGTAACAAGAGTTAATTAATACTGCATGCGCGCGGGCGGGCAAAAACAAATAGTCTCATACCCAGCGTTCAGGGGTTATCTCCACAGTTCGGGACGCACCGTTATAGACACTCCAAGCTATGGATAGCCTCGCGGATTCTGCCAACTTTTGTAATCGCGATGACAAAAAAAACGCCGTAGTAACGTGGTGCAGGGATGGAGGGAGGAGGGTGCCTGCAGGGTTGGAGTGAGATTGCCGATCGCTCAAATCCTCGACGGCTGCGATTGGTCAGATGCGCGAAGTTGGTTTCGTCCTTCGGCAGGTCGGCGGGTAATCGACACCGAGGGGATCTAGAATCCGGCGATTTGAATCTGGCAATTTGAATGCAGGCGACGTGCACGAGGCGCGAGGCCCGTTACCTCCTCGCCCTTCTGCAGTCGGCGGCTCGAGATGATAATGATCTTGCTGCGCTCCTTGTCGAAGTTCACCACCTCGGCCACGCAGTTGGGCGAGCACGAGTGGTTGATGTACCTGCGCGCGTCGGACGCAACAACACGCTCGCCGTCATCATCGTCATCGTCTGCCCGTCGCGATCACCGTACACGGCGGGACATTCGTGATCGACATGTCGCGAGGAATCGTTTGGGAATTTAATCGGCAAATACGTAACGGCGACGTTTAATGCGATTTAACGACCAGACCTCTCTTCGTCGGTCTGTATTCCGCATGAGGTGGACCGCCGTCAGAAGTCCGGCGTTAAATAGTGCAATGCTTGTTCGAGTGACCGGGTGGGCTGGCTCAGAGGTCAGAGCACTTAGCTGGCATCCGCTGAGATCCTGGGTTCGAATTCAGCTTTCAGCTGCCGCTTATGTTTCCCTCGATTCTTTAAAATTACCGCTTATGGTTCATTCTTACGCACATGTACACAATGTTACACACGTACACCTCGAGACATTGAAAGCATGCCATCATCTTCATCATCAGGTAGGATCAATCCAGAGCCGGATGAAAGTCTACCAAATCCGTCACCATATCTCACGGCCCAGCAATATGTGACTGCATGTATGCGCACATTATTAATAACCAGATGATGCTGGTGATACCATATCCAAAAAGCCATATGACTTGTGTAAGTATTACCGATCCACTAACACACGAGATCCTCCCCACAGGTGCATAGAAACAAGAGAAGTGTTTGTGTTTCGGCTTGCATATTCCTTCAGACTAAGGTCACGATCTGATGGTACAGTGATGAACGTCGTCTTACCTGGCCGGTCCACCAGTAAGTGTGGCGTCAATGACGTGATCCCCATCGATCCGGAACATATAAACGCCTCGGTTCTGTAGAAAGATCGACGAATCTCAATGTTAAATTGCCATACAGGCTTTGCCTGTCCGCTGTTGGGCAAAGGCCTTTCTATGCTGTGTCAGTCATGCAGGTGGGGGGGGGGGGGGGGGCAGTGGGCGACTGGCGTCAGGGACAGGTTCAGATATCACTCGCTCGCCACCGATGTTAGACGTGGCCGGCAACCGAACTCAGGTCTCCTCCGGATGCCCAAATTAATCGAGGAGACACTGCCCCCCACAGCCGCACCTTAACATTGTAATAGCGAGCAGCTATCGTGTTTCATGAACAATGTTCGCACGTTTAACACGCAATAATATGCGTAATGATAATGGAGATATCGATGGAGTTGATGATGCTTACCCGAGTGAAGTTAAAGAAGACGGAGGTGGAAATTATGGGAATGATGAATGTACAGGATCTCTCCGGTGGTCGGCCACCTCATTATGGATGACAGTGGTGATGGCGAGCGGTAATGAAGGTAATGAAGATGCAGGTGGTGATGGGAATGATGGTGATTATGGTGATGATGGTGATTATGGTGTTACCTGTGCCTTGTAGAGTGCCTCCCTCCGGTTGGCCACCTCGTTACGGATGATGGTGCCGATGTACTCGATCACCATCGTGTGCTTCTCAATGTCCCGTGCCGCGTACAGACCCAGGCCCTGAGTGGCGCACCGCACAAAGACAAAGATCCCCTATATAGACTCGTCAAGATTCTTGACCTTAAAAATGTATTTAATGAACAATGGGACCAAACAGCAATGCACATTAGAGATGGTATTGTTGGATTGTGTTTCTCAAACGACTATTCACATTGCATTACATTGGGACAAGTGCTGCTAGCAAGCACCTATGAAGGGTGGAACGGCACACGAGGGGACAGGTGGCCAAGCATCATGCCAAAGCTGTGTTTTTGTCTCCCCAGTGCAGATGGTTATATACACCGTTCGAGATACTCATTTAAGGCTAAGTCGACCTAGGGGAGGCTCAGGACCGATTCAGATATTCGTCACCGATATTGATTCTGACCGGGAATTGAACTCGGGTCTCCGGGTTCAAAGCCGTGTGCTAACCACTACACTGCTGCTCCGTATCAGTATCATGCGGCCAGCTGTGGCTCTAGGGTTTGGTGTTACATGTTATTTATGTAGTTTATTGTTAAAAATTCAGTCACAGTACCTGTGATCACTGTTACATTGCATTTATGGCTTTATTTTGGTGATTTCGAAAAGTTTTTTGGTTTGGCCATGTTTTTGTTCATTGTAGTACGGAGTTAGACTGATGGCCTTAATCTTAGTTGTCTTGTGGTTGTTGTTGTTATTTGACTTGCATCCAACTGGGATTTTTGCACACAGCGTTGGTGTACTGTGCTATTTCAGGAATATTTTGATGTTTTTTCCTGGATTTTCTGTTTGCACAGTCACACAATCACTTTAAGATGTTTTCTTGTTCATGTTTTTGTTTTTTTGCTTGTTGCGGTTGCACCCGATTCAAGAGCCGAATGGTTCACAGGGCTATACCAAATAAATGAAACTAAACTAACTAAACTATCAGCATTCAACCAGGAGAATTCTTCATTGGCACTAAATGTGCACACCGTAGTTACAAAGAAACAGGCATTATATAGTAATCATACGCATATGCAGGAAAATGTATCCATTGTCTAATCCACTTACACACCTAAAAGCAAGTTAAATGTATTTGTCTAACCAGGTGAGAACTCACGAGACTAGGATGGAGTCTCATTTGCAAGAGTGAGTGGACCTGGGTCACCCAAAATGACAAAACAAAAACGAAGTCGAGCAATGAAGGAAATATTGATCAGATAAGAGCTGACTATGTCACATGAGGAATCGAAAGTAATGCACAAACATCAACCAATGTTAAATAATAAATTCCCCGTGGCGCAAGTCGGCTCGGGAGGATTATTTTTAGACTCGTCACGGTACAGTAGTAACAGGCCAAGAGGCCCGTACGGTCTTTAGAGACCGATCTGCTGGTGAGCGAGTACACGGCGCACATTCAGGCTGGCACAACACACGATGATGGGATGGTGTGGCCAGCACCACATATGCCCCATTGCTGATGTCCACACGTGACACCAGGTTACTCATTTTAGCTTAAGCTGTACAGACAGCATTTTTTGCGAAATATTAACTGTGCTCGGGAATCGAACTCAGGTCGTCAGCATTGTAGCACAGTGCGCAAATCATTCTCTCACACAGACACACAAGTTTATACTCTGTGCACGCGCACACACATGCAAAAGCACCCACAAATGTACTCAAAAGACAAAGATGTATCCAAAACAGACTGGTGGGTCGTGTGCTATTAGCAAGCACCTATTAAGGCCGGCATGATGACCAGTAACTTTCACCTCGCTGGTGCTGTTTACATACCGCACCAGGTTACTCACTAAAGGGCCGAGGGACTGGTAAATATAATACTCGCCACTGGCTTAAGCCGGGGCCATGAATCGAAATCAGGTCCTTCAGTTTATAGTGAAGTGTGCTAACCATTATCCCATTGCCCCCAACATACAAATATACCCAATGTTCCCACGCACCCGCTCACATACACACCCCTCATTTAGCCTTGTACACTAAGTGCTGTCAAGATTATGAAGGTCACGCCGATATACGAGGGGGGGGGAGATGGTCACACTACACATGCATACACAAAGACAAAGATGCCCCATATAGTCCTAACATACTGCCGGGGCAAGTGCTGTTAGCGAGCACCTATGAAGGCCCGCACGCCACACGAGGAGGTGGGTGGCCAGTACCATGCCCGGCAGCCCTTGTCTTGCCAGTGGTGATGTTTACTCACCGCACCAGGTACTCATATGAGGCAGTCGACCTACGGGAGGCCCAGGGCCGGTTTGGATAATTGTCAATGGTGCTGGCCGCTAGCGGGAATCGAACACAGGTCACCGGGTTCGTAGCGCGGAGTGCTAACCGCAACACTACCGCTCCCCACATTACATATCCAACAACAACAACCGCCATTCGCCAATAAGTGGCGGTGACGTCACCACGACGCTTGTGCCAGGCCATGTGCACATTGAGGCCACGTGGAGTGTCGAACGCCCGCTGGCAGGAGGTCACGGGGCAGACCCAGGTGCCACGGGTCGACTGAGATGACTGGCTGATGCACCACTTGTGCCCCCTACTGTGCCAACCTGCAGTGCTTTAGCCACCTGGCGCTCCGCTCATTGTTGTGAGCGTCGCTCCTCTGCCCTCCGTTGTTGTTGGAGGGCGACTGCCTCCAACTGCCCAGTAGCGTCCTTCACGAGCCTCCTCCACAGAGGCCGATCTTGACACCGCTGGTACCAGTCATCGGCAAGTCCACTCAGCACCACGTCCTCCTGTACCACGTCACTCCATCTCTTCTCTAGCCAGTGCCGCGCCCATTTAGCCCCCTCGATCCGGCCGAACAAAAGCTGTTTCGGCATGCGGTGGCTGGGCATGCGGGCTACATGACCGAGCCAACGCAGCCTTGCCTGCCGGAGGAGCTCACCGACGGGACCGTGCCCAGATCTTTCAAGGATTTGTGAGCTCCTCACACAATCCAGCCTGGTTAAACCCAGGAAGGATCGTAGGCAGGCCAGCCTAAATGTTTCTAACCGGCGAAGATGTTCCATTAGGGGGGTCCAAGTTTCGTAAGCGTAGAGAAGGGAGGGAATGACCGTGGCCGAGAAGACCTGAAGCTTAGTGCGGAGCGATAGACCAGGTAGCTTCCACACAGCATTACGCAACCGATGAAAAGATATTGCCGCTCGACTGATTCGGAGTGAAACCTCTGCTGTTAAACACACAGACAGGCAGACAGACACGGAAGCATGTACCTGGATGTTGGAGCGCGCCAGGTACACGTTGGTCTTCCAGTCTGAGCGCAGGCGACGGTACTGCGAGCTCTTTGAGTGGACGAACTGCTTGCTGTAGGGCGCTGTCAGGTCTCCCGTCACAGTGCTCTGGAACGACTTGGACGAGCTGTTGCTGGTGAGCGTGTGGGGCCTGCAGTGAACACCAGAGACGAACGTTCCCTCTGCAGCTCTGCTGTTGCCGTGTCTGCAGTGGTCGCAAATGAAACTCAGGTTGCACGGCACAGACCCCGGTGCACTTACCATTATGCCACCGCTCCCCCACACAGTAAACTTGTAAAACAAAGATCCCTCCGTGTATCCTTTATCCGACTCTTGTTTCCAAGCGCTGTAAGCGAGCATATATCAAGATTGGCATGGCGCATGAAGTAAAGGTGGGATCAGCACCACGCCCGGCCGTCTCTGTCTTTACAGCGATGATGTTTACACATCGCACCAGGTACTCATTTAATGCCGAGTCGAGCTTGGGGAGGCTCAGGATCGGTTCAAGCAGCCGTGACCGGGAGTTTAACTCAGGTCGCAGGGTTTGTAGCAGTGCGATAATCGCTTTGCCACCGCTCGCCACAGTGAACAGTACACACGATGCACACACTCTGGCGGTGAGTGGGTGGAGGAGAGAGGCTCATGAGGGCTGTTGCAGAAACGCCGAGGCAGCAGCAACAACAGGGGCCCTAGTTCTAAGAGTCCAACATGGGCAGCCACTCGTAACTAAACCAACCAGGTTCTCAAGTGGTGGAATGGGTTAACGGTATCAGCGCCGGCAATAATGCTACTCGTTTTGACAACTCCACATATAATATCCCCTGCAAACGGCACCATCTGGTGGCTGGCTTAATCTAGAATACCTGGGGAGGCCTATTGAGTGCTTTTGTTTACTACGGCCAAGGGTCCCCCACCGTGGCTAAAAGTTCATCAATCCAGACGAATTAAAAAAACAATGGTCTCGTGGGTCTCCAGTCCTTAAGTCTTGAAACCAAACATCAAGACAGCAAGTCTAAAACCTGGTCGTGCTGGACATGAATCTCAAAACCGGGAGAGCAGAACCCCCCCGTAACCGTTCCTGTTCCACTGAAACGTGCACCTATGTCGATATTTTTTAATCGAGGGCAATATTGGCACGTGAAATAACGATCGATGAATTGATTAATTAAAGCGTCCCCCTGGGGAAGGGGGTTTTGCGGGGCTTGAGTAAGGCGGCCGAGCTGTGCGTCTGACGTACCTCTTGGTGTGGGCGCGCAGGCGAGGTTCCGTGCGGGCGCAGCCCGACAGGTTGATGGCCACGGGCAGTGCCAGCACGGGGTTGCGGCCGTAGCGGAACACGTAGCGCAGGCAGCACTCCGAGCCAGGCAGCTGGGAATCGTGCACGGCAACGGACAGCGGAGATCTCTCATTATTATTATTAATCGTACATAGATGCGCGCGGACCACATGAGACTGAAATCACCTCTTCTAGGCCTGGCCCTATAGAAACACACATACGTAAACCTTGTCACAGACTTCTCTTTTGTCGTTCATTACTCGGGCAATTTAAATATGGCAGCCGCCCCGATAGCCAACAGTCCAGCATGACGACGCGGCTGATGACGCCGATAACGTGACCAAGCCCTGCCCATCACCTCCTGTCCAGCGGCACATGAGGAAACAGAGGCTTTTTCTGTGTTATCAAATTAGTCGAGTTGACTGGTAATCAGCACTCAATTCTTCAATAATCAAGATAACCCAGCTATAATTATGAGCACTGCCTCCTCCTCTGTCTCCACTTCTTTCTGCAGAATTATACGTATTATGATGTTTGTTGACGTAAGAAAGCTTCAAGGAGTTATGACTTTCTTCGGGAGGGTCCTGCCAAGTTTTTGCAGGAGCGGACAATGATTGCAATTAATTTTATTATTTGGATCCTGAAGCGGGCACATAATGGCCTACTCTTGTGAATGATGCCACGGGATGTTTAACGTTCACTGCCAATCAGACAGCGAGTATTTTTTTCTGTTTAATACACACGACGCAGCATTAACCAGGGCGGCCGATGGAACCGAACTGTGAACGTCTGCAAGCGAGCGACGTACGTGCTACCGCTGGGCCACTGGACGGCCGCCCCCAGGCCAGCGTTTCCACATGCACACCGCAGCCATCCACACACGCGCACCCAAGGAGCTGGAAAACTCGCACGCACAGACGCACACACGCACCGACTCGAGGATACGCCGCACTGCGTGCACAGACAGCCCGAACATGTCGGCTCCGCGCACGTAGTCGGGGAAGAGCTGCAGCATGTCGGCATCTTTGCGCAGACGTGCGATCGGCTCCAGGATCTTCTGCCACACGCCTGCACAGCACAGGGTGGGGTGGGGCGGTGGGGGACGCGAGACTCCGTTAGGGAGGTGAACCAGGGCCAGAGGGCACACAGAGTTAAAGGTGCAGACTGGGGTTGGATACTCGAGCGTTTCGAACACATTGGGGTTGGAAGGCAGATGTGCGCCAGAGTGCCATGAGGCTCAGAGGAACACAAAGGTGGAGACGAATAGACTCAAGAAGACTTCGGGGTTAATGTGACATGCAGGTTACGGGTTACACAGAAGACATGGGGAAACAGGGTCAAGAGGGACGGGGAGAGTTCATATGGCTTGATGTTTAGAGGTCACGGGGGTCACAAAGACACATATGGTCAGAGGACATGACATGGGACATTCGTCATAAAATATTGAATCGGAGATCAGAGTGCCGAGCCGGCACTGATGAGAAGTTGGGTTCAAATCGAGCCTTCAGCTGCTTGTGATTAAAATGGGTTCTTATCTTGATGGTCTCATCATGGTCACCATGGCCCGTGCAAAAAAAAAAAAACAGTATATCATACACATTCTGTTGCTTTCAATAAATTTGGGCACTGAGAATTAAGATATTGGTTTGACCGTCATGTGACAAACGGTCAAACCATTCTCAGACGCACGGATCGGCGAGACGGCTTCTTCATCTCGTGAAGGGACATCGATAGCCCATATGGAATATCATTTGGAGGATTTCTTTTATTTTTTCAAAGCCCACAATTGTACTGAGGTGGGAAAAAAATAGGTGGATAAAATGGGGTCCAGGGTTTAGAATTACTGTCCTGGGTAGGAGAGATGACGCAGAGAAATTTGTGCTGTAGTGCTAGCACGGAGTGAGGATAGGGGTCCTGTGATAGAATGAGTAATAATTTCCAACAGCTGGGGCTTATGCTCATAACATTAGAGGGCATGGCACTCGGGCGTGATGCTTATCCCAGTTGTTTTGAGCTGTGACGAGCCGATTAATTTACAAACGATTAAATGGGTGTGGGCAGGTGGCTGATTAATCTGCACAAGAGCCGTGGTTGATTGGATTAAGCTAGAGTGTTCTTCCTGTTTCACCCAACACCCTGGATATGGCAGAAACACCCCATTCTTGGAGAAGTCGAATAATTTTAGTGCGAGGAATTGTTGACGGCCAGTGATGTTTCTACTGTTTCTACCATCTATGGGGAAACTAGCCCCCCGATTTACGACGACGAGGTTTCTAGAAATGCATTGCACCGTCGTATAAGCTGTGGGGAAGGGGGGGGGTTGACGGGGGCAGGCACCGCCTGTATATGTAAATACACACTCGACGAAAGGTTAATCGCAGTAAAATTCCACTCTCATTTGGGGTAAACGGGCTGGCCGGCTCTCTTGCTGCTCGCACCTTTGGGCGAAGAATCGGAGAGCAACATCTCCTCGTGGCCCTGCTCGACGACGCGCACCGAGAAGAGCGGCCGCCCGCCAGCCTCCCCGATGCGGCAGTGGTAGTAGCAGCGCTTGTTGGTGTAGCGCGTGCTCCAGTAGAGGCGTGTCGCCTCGTAGCCGCACGGGAAGATCGCCGACGCGCTGTGAAAGGCTGCCGCGTGCTGGGGCAGCAGCTGCCCCACGGAGCGCAGGATCAGGCTGCCCACCCTGCACCCACAACCGCACGCAGGAAGGAAGTCAAGTACATTTTTGGTTTACATACGTGGCCGCATTCTGGCACAAATCTGGCACTAAAAGAGACATCACATTCTAAAGCTCTAAAGTAGAATAAAAAAATATATATATTTTTTCGAAACAATGAGGAAAAAACATATACAGTTAGATACGATCTACAGTTTATAGTATAAAAGATAAAAGCCAGTTGTGGCACGCACAGGTTTTCGAGGAGGGGTTGGCACGAGGTGGATGGGTAGCTCATGGGTCAGAGCACGAGGCCGGTTGCGAGTGAACATATTAATCTTATGGTGGGACCCCGGGGTCCCATAAGCCCCCGGCTCTCGCATAAACATTATATTAGATTAAATTTTTATTTAAAGCTTTCGTGACTGCAGTAATTCATATTCTTAGCTCTTTCGGTATTTAAAAAAAAACACGCCACTTCTTTCAAATGTTTCTTGCCGTTGGTTTTTTCACACCTGATGATGACCGTTTGTGTTATGGTCGAAACGTCGTGAGAATTTTTATTGTTTTATATATATTTTCTTATTTTATTGTTTCCCTCCAAAGTGACTTTACCGAAAGAGCTAAGAATATTATATTATAACGTAAACAAAAACTTTGCTCTTTTTCACCAATGGGTTTGAAGGATGGTGGCAAGTGGTCTTGTTAAACTACGCCTTTAAAACTGAAAACTACTTACCTGCAGTACCTCTAATTAAAAACACTATCGAAAAAATAATTTACGCCCCTCTGTCAATCATCGTGTTTATCAGTGTAGATTTGTGAACACACTGTGTAAACAGTACATAAAATAGTACGCGTTTGCAATGCGCTGTTCATATTGTAACAAGCGTTTATACCAATGTACGGGTTGCCGCTCATCTTATCCGCATTGATACGAGCGGTATGTGGTGACTATGGCTTAACCGCAAAAAAAACAACCTATCTGCACAAATGCATTCAGACAAGAGAAGTATTTTGATTTAAAGCTTTCGTGACTGCAGTAATTCATATTCTTAGTTTTTTCGGTAAAGTCACGTTGAAGAGAAACAACAAAATAACAAAATATATATAAAACAATAAAAAATTCTCACGACGTTTCGACCATAACTCAAACGGTCATCATCAGGTGTGTCGGTTTGCATAAATGTATCTTTAAAACGGCACGTTTATTTATTTATTTAAAAAAAAAACGTTGGCGTCACACGCAGCGATTGGCAGTTTGCCCAGGACTAGTCCATCTATTTTTTTTTTAAAAGAGGAGGGGGAGACGAATTTTTTTTTTTATATAATGTATGCTGTCTGAAAGCCACTGTAAGCGTGAACAATAAATCAAGAACTGAAATGATTTATCAAATCTTTCCAATGATTGCTAAGATAGAATCCATCTTCTCGGTTGAAATTGTCTCTGTGTTTGTATATGTGGATAGCCTCATGAACGAATCTCTCATGGTAGCCAGATGGCTTACAAAGAACCTCCGTCTTGGAAAAGTCAATGGCATGTGAGCCTACTGAATTAGAACAATGATCTGCTACGGCCGAGGTGTTGGTCCTACCGTGTTTAAGGTCTGCTTTATGTTCACGAATGCGGTCCGAGACATGGCGTTTGGTTTCTCCAATGTAACTACTACCACAGAGGCAACTTAGTTTGTAGACACCAGGGTATTGTATGTCCGGAATCACATCTTTTACAGACGGAACCGTCTTTTACGCTTATTCAGCTGTTCTGCGCATTCGTCCTCGCTGTGCTTGGACGACATGACAGAATGATCCGTGCCAGGTGGGTCGCGGCGTTAATGTGCATGGTGGGACGGAGTCGCCAAAAATAAATGAATTACGATTTGGAATTCCGTCTATTCGGGACCCCGGGGTCCCGCCATAACGGTTCATATGTTGCCCCCTCACCAACCAGGGAATGACTCGTATCCCCAGGGAATGGAATGTTGGGTGCCTCCTGGGCTGGATTAGGCAGGGCTTAATTTCTCGGTGAATATTTTATGGGATGTTGATAAGACTTGGGATTTAGACGGAACGTCCTATGCATTTGCACGTGATAGGCTACTTCGTTGAGCTATCATTTGTGGCCAGGTCGCTTCTGGAAAAGAGCTGCCATAGCTCAGTGGGCTTTACCTGGCAAAATTAAAATATTTTAATAGTTTAGCCACGGCCACAGAAATACAAATAACGTCCCTTGCCCCCCCCCGCCCCCCCACTCCGCCTTCCTTATCCTGTCCCGCCCCCGACCGGCCCCAAACACCGGCGCTCACCGGAAAGTGTGTCCGTGCTCGGCACGCTGCACCAGCCCCGCGAGCTGCGCAACCTCGTCGCGCTGCACAAACACGCGTCGGAACACGGCAAAGCACGCCAGCTCTACATCGGCGGCAGCGCCGCGCAGCCGGTGAGCCGGGCACAGCACCGTCTTGTCACGGAAGAATGTGCAGCGGGCGCGCAGCGCGCACGCGAAGTGGTACACGTTGGCGCAGCGGATGCGGTGGCAGCCGGTCGTGGCGCCGCTGCGCTGGCACATGACGCAGCGAGTGGCGTTGCCGCGCCTCGCCGCCGACTCGACGTTGATGAGGGCGCCGGCCTGCGTCTCGTACACCTCCGACGACCAGAGCGCGCAGTTCAGATGCACCCACACGTCCAGGTCGAGGTTGAGGAGCCGGGCGGGCCCGTCCGTCAGCCCGTCACCCGTCTCCTGGCACAGGCAGCAGCGGCGGCGATCTCGCGGCGCCGGCGCCGGCTTGAGCGACGTGCCCAGCTTGCGCACCAGCTCGTCCATCTCCTCGTCCGTGGCGGGCTTGAAGGTGCGCCGCGGCGTCAGCAGCCTCTCCTCCCACTTGCGCCAGCGCAGCACCTTGCACCGCTTGCCGTGGGAGCGGGGGGTCTCGGCCGACGCCGGCGTCGGCCGCGTCATGCGGATCCGCGTCCGGAGCGGCGGCTTTTCCGGGTCGGTCCGCGGTGGCGGCGGCGCCGTCTTGTCCTGAGCCGTCGGCCCTGCAGCTGTAGATGGGGCCCAGGATGGGGATGACGACAACGACGACGACGGCGGAGGAGGGGGAGGAGGTGGAGGCGGCGGCGGAGGGGCCGGGTGGCGCTGCTGGCACGGGGCTCGGTCGGTGACGTTGCCCGGCATGTTGCGGCCGACCCCGGCGATGCCAGGCACGGGCTTTTTGGGCGACAGGGAGGTGGCGCCACTGCTGTAGTGGTGCAGGAGGACGTTGCGGGTGGCGTGCGTGGTGCCGCCCGGGCCCCGCGCGTGCTCCGCACCCAGCAGGGCACCCTGCTGTCGGGCGCAGACACGCGGGGGGGGGGGGGGGGGGGGGGGGGGGTGTCACCGATAATGTCGCGCAAAGGGTGTGCGGTGCGAGACACGTCCGGGGGGGGGGGCAATATCGCTCGGCAGCAGCCGCACGCGAGTGACGGGGTTCTACTCTATCAGCCGTCCATCTCGGCTGCGCTGCCGTAGGGCCATGGCACGGTGATGACACGTCACACAAGGAGCGCCGAGATGCCGAGGCGCAATGTGAAACATTCAACGCATTGGGGGGGGGGGGGTTGGGGAGGATGAAGGGGGGGGGGGTCCTTGACTCCTAAAATCACATTAAACTTATTTTTGTTCCTTTTCATAATCCATGCATGAAAGTTAAAATTACGAAGTCAATTACAAAAGCTATGAGAGCGCTTATCATTCATTTCAGACCAAAATAACGGCAACAGGCCTTCTGGTTGCGGAGCCTGTCGAGGAACAGAGAAAACAAGACATGATGCACACCGTAAAACACACACACACACGTGTGCTGTGAAGAGCACTCGCGCACTGCGAGCGAACGCACGTCCGTATCCTCACGCATGACAAACAACATCAACGGCCGCAGCGGAGCGCGGCGCCACGCGGTCGCGTTCAACAAAAGCGCGCACAAGCGACACGGAGCACACGACCGGGCGTTTCCCCCCCCAACCCCCCCCGCAACACCTACGGTCGCCGATAAGCCACAAGCGCAAGCGGGTGGACGGGCGGGCGGGCAGGCAGGGTCTCGGCGGGGGTGGGGGGGGGCCAAGCGCTGCCGGCCTACCTTGGCTTGCAAGGCCACCGTGTACTGCATGAGGCAAGCGTTGCTGCAAAACACCTCGTCCGAGTCCTGGCTCTCTGAGCCATCGCCAGCGGCGCCGTCCTGCGCACACAAGGGGGGCACACAACGGGCACGTGTCGCCCGGTGTCGGGACGCCCCGCGTGTCCGGCCGCCGGGGGTGGAGGGGGTTGAGGGGGGCGGTGGGCACTGGGAGGTGGAAGGCGGTGATGGAATGTCAGGGTTGGCTGCGGTACTACCGAGTTGCGGTAGTGGAGGCGAAATCTTTGTTGGCGGGGGGGTGGGCGGCAGTGAAATGCTGGGAGGGCAGCACGGAGGGCATACACTGGTGGGCAGCATTGAAACGATGGTGGTGCCAAGAAGTGAGATGTAGGACAGCGCCAAGACGTCGGTGGGAAGCACTGATGTGTGCCACGGCTGGATGGAAACATTTGTCGGCAATACAGAGATGTCGATGGGTAGTGCTGCGATGTTGATGGGCGGCATTGAGAAGCTGGTGGGTAGTGTTGAGATGCCGGCGGGCTGTTTGAGATGTTCATGGGTTGTACCGAGACTGTTCGTGGGCAATAATGGGTTGAGAGTAGCACTGAAGCCCTGGGGAGCGGCACTAATAATGGGCAGCACTGCAGAGCAGGACTGAGATTAGAGTGGCACTAAGAAGGAGGATGGAAGTACGAGATACGGATCAGGTCTTGAGATGGTAGGAAGCGGTACCATTAAGTGGTGGTGGCCGTCTTGAATAAATCGACCTGGGGATCGATTTGTGTGTTGGCGGAAAGGCAGTTTCAGCTATTTTTCACGACTGTACTTTGGCTGGATTTATCCAAAAATATAAAGAAAACAGCTTGCCTATCAACACATGAGTTTCAGCACCTGGGTGTTAAGTGGCTATTGTGGGGCCTGTGTTTAGAGTCAACTTGGGCATTGTTTTGGTAGCTTTGTTAGTGGCCGTATTTTGGGCTGTAGGGCCCTACCCGCCTTCAGTGGGAGCTACAGCCGATGAGGAGTGCTCTCCAAGCGACACTCAAGTATACTAACGAGACGAGCGACGGTTCTGTAGTAGACTGGCAGTGGAGAGACAACTTTCTCACTTGTCGCTCAGCTCCTGGCTACGACCTTCCACCAACTATTCTCTGCGTCTCTTAAGCGCAGCTCAAAACCATTGACCCTGACCTTGGGGGGGGGGGGGGGGGAAGAGGAGGGAGGCGGCACGACAAACATATAAAGCGCGCACAGGACGCAAGCACGCGGCGGCGAAAAGCACACGGAAGGCGGCGGACGCACGAGACACGATAGCGGGCGGGCCACGATGATGCGGGCGGAATCGAATGGACACGGGGGGGGGGAAGCACGCCGATGGAGTCGGGGCACGGCGAGCGACTCCCGCACCGCCGGTGAGAGACACAGTGAGAGAGAGCGCCGTATTTGAGACACTCTGTCCACGTGCCGGGATGCTGTCGTCGCACCGACAAAGCCCCACGCCCGCAGACACCGCTTCAGTCCCTGCGCCTCTGCAAACCGTCGCCGTTAACTTACCGCCCCCTGCAGGCAACGCAAACTCAGCCCAGCAGCACTCACCTTGCGCAGCCTCGACTGCCAACTCAACTACACGGAGGGGGCAGCTCCCTCCAAAGATCAATGAGGGAAAAGGCTGGGTTTGTCAGGGTTAGGGTAATGATGATGTAATTGTTAGGATTAGTGTCATGATCAAGTTGTTAGAATTATGGTGAGAGCTCGGCATGATGGGGCATGGGTTGGTTGGGATAGGGCAAGGTTAAGGGTTGAGATGATTGTAAGAGTTAATTTTCGGAATAAATTATGAGCGTCAAGGATAGGTTGATATATTTATTTGGGTTATTTGATTCGTATTGTTTGGGTGAGAAACAGGGCTAGACTGCGAAGAATCAGTAGGCCAAGTTCTCGAATGGTCAAGGCTATGGCAAAGCTTGTTTGGGATAGCGTCAGGGCTATGTTGTTCAACTTAGAAGCCAGTGAAAAGTTTCCACGATTTAAAACTAAGAGTTAAGATTACGTTTCATCATCGTCATGCGGGGAAATACGCTGGGCTTGTTGAGGTTAGGGAAAGATAAGGTTTACTTGCTCTACGGCAACGATTAAAGTTAAGGTTTATGGTAGGCGCGATGTGAATGTCGGGGCTCAGCTTACGATTAGACAAGGGGGGATTGTTTCTGCTCTACCTGGGTAGTTGTTAGGTTAAGATTAACGCTGCGTAAACCGCCTCTCATGCAGCAGCTCCTTGCTCGCCCGCCACTTTGGCGGCGAGCAAGCGGTCTGAAAGACCGATGTAACGGTAACGGCCAATCTCCCGTCGACTCATCGCACCTGACGCGGCGTCCCGACGAGCTCCTTGGCCGGCTTGCGCACGCCGGGGTCCAACACCGACACGTCGCAGTGGCGGCACCACTGCGGCTTGGCCCCTGCGTGCCCCGGCGGCGTCGCCGCGGCGCCGCTGGTGGAACCGGCAACCACCGCTTCCTCCTTCACCAACGCTGATCATCGAAGCGAGCGCGCACGTGCACGCACACACGCGGTCAGCCGGTTCATTGGCAAATGGGAGGTGTATGTCCGTGTGTGGCTGTGTTGCACAGAGACAAATGGTGCAGCTGAGCAGAGGATAAGAGTCCACGTGTTTTTTTCTTAAATACATATTTTTACAGCCCTGTAAAATCCACCGCTGGATGAAGGCGCCCCCATGCAGTGGGGTTGTTTGACCATACTTCGTCGTGTTGGTCAGTATGGGTTAGTGAACGGTAGGCCTAGGACTGCAGCTGATATCACTCGCCACTAATGTTAGCTGGGCATCGAACCCGGTGCACTGGGTTCATAGGACAGTGTATTCAGTATGGCACCACTGCACCACCCTCTAAAAATATTTCGTATGTGATTGATTAATTGTCTAAAAGCAGAGGGGGTGGTGTGGAGTGCACTAGTATATGCTGGAAATGTGTCTGTAGTCTGTGGTACAATGCATGCATTGTGTGCACACATGCGTCACACACAAATGCAGTACATCACACACACAAAAGTGCGATACAATAACATTAACAGCCGCCATTCACCACCGTGTGACGGTGACATGACCAGCACTGTACGTAGCCAGGCTAGATGCACTTTGAGGCCATGCAACGTGTCGAAGACTTGCTGGCAGGAAGTTATGGACCAACGCAGGTGTTACAGCGAGTTAACCGATTGAGACTGCAATACACCTGACAAAGACCCCCCCCGTATAGCTGTAACAGACTTTTAGGGTAATTGCTGTTAGCGAGCATGGATGAAGGCCGGCACGAGGGGGTGGGTGATCAGCACCACGACATGCTGCCGCCTTTGTCTATCAAGTGGCGATGTTTACACACCGCACCATGTAGTAATTTATGGCCGAGTTGATCTAGGGGAGGCCCAGGAATGGTTCAGATGTCACTGGTCTTAGCCGTGAGCGGGAATCGAACCCGGGCTGCTAGGTTCGTAGCGCAGCGCGCTAACCTGCTGAAGTACCGCTCTCCCGACAACTGACACAAACACACGCACACACAGACAACTCCACCCATGCGTGTGGTGGTGCATGCTGCCCGTGCTACTCACTGCGAGCTGGTGCCCGCGTCGCTCTGTGAACGGGGATCCCACCGCCGCCGCCGCCGCGGCCGGCACGCGCGTCCGGCGCCGCGTGCAGCCTCTCGAGCAGGGGGAAGGGCGGCAGAGCGGGCGAGTCGCGGATCTCGTAGCTGCTCGGCATCCTCACCCGGAGGAGCCCCGCCACGGCCGCCACCACTCCCGCGATGTCCTGACGACGGGCGGCGACGACGACAACGTCAACAGGGCACAGGGGGACGGCAGCACGGCGACTTAATGCGTCGTACGCTGCAGTCAAAACAATCGGCAAGTTTCTCGAATTCCCTTCCCCGCCTCTGTCCGCCCATCAGTATGAACAGCCTGCGAGCGAGTGAACTTGCGAGTGAGCGAGACCGGCGAGTGAGCGGGTTGGCGGGGCTGACCTCGGAGGCTGCGGTGGACAGTGTGAGCGTGATGGACACGGCGCTGTCGTTGCGGACGTCCCAAGGAGCCCCGGACATGGGCGCGACCCTGCCCGGCTCCTTCGAGGCGAGGGGGTCTCGCGCGGGGATACCGAGCTGGCTGGCAAGCAGCGCCACCACTGTGCAGGGAACACGCGCAGCATGGCAGAGCAGTGGGTCAAAGCCAGAGCGTCGCAGGCGCCGAGTCAGCGCAGCGCTCCAACGGAGGTATCGGCCTCGTGACAAACGCCGTGGATAACCAATTATTGACCGAAACACATTTTTAACGCTCGGCATACTTATCACGGCGGTGGCGGCACTTCTGAAAAATAAGTTAATACCTTAGGTAGGATGAGGATGATTTCGTTTTATTCGAATGTTTTTGGGCGATTTGTTTGGCTTTCCTGTACGTTGCACCGCTATCGTGTTTTTGTATTGTTTGTAACGTTCTTTGTCTTTGTGCTGTTCGCCTTTTGGCTCAAAATAAAGCTGTCTCTGGTGTGGACCAATCAGTTTCAAAGACAATGCATATATTATCAGAGCATGCTTTATGCTTGCATGTTCACCACAAGTACGTGTGGTTAATGCAGACAGGATTCCTTTAATAAAGATTCTGTCTGGTTTTTTTCACATCTTGTCACCTGTTTTATTGCCAGAAAGGGTAAATCTTGACTTCGCTTTCGTGACTGCAGGAATTAATATTCCTGGGTCTTTCGGTAAAGTCACATAGCTAGGTTAAAAAAGGGCAAAACCTATTGTTACATGTTCTTTACCCGCCCCCTACTGGACATCTGTGAAAAAGAGCTTCATAGCTCGTCGGATTCCTCCTCCAGTGTAAACAAATATTCTGGTACCGTGATTGGTGGAGCTGGGCAGGATGGGGATGACGGGCGAGAGGCCACGCTCGGGGCTGGGCGCGCCGTCCCACAGGTGCGGGAAGCGCGAGGGCTCGTCGGGTCCCAGCACGCTGTCGGGCGACGACGCCGGTACCACGCTATCGGGCGATGATGCCCGCACCGCGCCGTCGGGTGAGTCACGGCCCTCGCGAGGCTCCGGCAGCAGCCTGGGCAGGCGCACGCACGCACGCACGCACAAAGACAAAGTTCCCCCGTTGAGCCTTTTACAGACTGTTGGGGCAACTGCTGTCAGCGAGTAGCACCTAATGAAGGCTGGCACGGCACCAACACCTCCGATAAGCGAGCTTTGGTGGCTATGCACGGTGAGAAAGAAGTTCAACGAACATATGGTAGAAGCAGAATGGACAAGGGAGAAGAGATGGGGGTTATTTTGTAGGAGGAACGGAAGCAGATTAGCGAAGATTGCTCCGAGAGCGCGAGACCGGGCACAGGGTGACGGAGGCACAGAGAGGGACGGCGGCGACTGGTAGCGTAGAAGACGGGACGGCACAGGGTAGGAAGAGACGATAACAGTAAGATAAGGTGGGGGCAAGACCATGGAGGGATTTACACCGAGACAGAGCGTGCGAGTCATTGAGCGAGCGAGCGAGCGAGCGAGCGGTCGGCCATACCGGCCGTCCTCGGGGTGGCTGTGTGGCGGCGTGGGGAGGGAGGCGGGCACGTCCACGCAGTGGGGCGCCACGGCGGCGCGGGCGTCCAGCCCCGTGAGCAGCGGCGCCACGGCCCGGGACGGCGACGCCGGCGCTCCCTGGAAACGGCTCAGCTCCAGCGCAGCCGCTGACGCACGGAGAGAGACGCATGCACAACGCAGACGTGATCGTCATCAGTGGTCAGCCTTTTTTTTGTTTGTGTTCTTGTTTGTCCTTCCCCCCCCCCCCCTGCACCTCTGATTAGCAAGGGTTGGCTACGTACAGCGCAAAAAAAAAGCTCAACGTACATATATAGATAGATTTGTATGAATCGTAGATAGGTCCATGATGCATATTTATTGTGCAATGGGTTTAAGCTGTGCCAAAACGAACCTAAACCCCATTTTGTCGCTCCTGTCCATTGAAGAGCCCCCAGTAAGTAAATACACGAGTGAACGTGCACCCGTCAAACACAGCGGGCACACGCGTGCCTGCAAGTGTCCGCGTACACATGGGGAGGGGGGGCGGTGGGATTGGGGGAGAGGGGGGGGGGCAAGGGGTGGGGGTCCTCACCTTCGGGACCCAGGAATCCACCGCGCTTGGACGGAACCTCCTCGCTGGACGCGAACCCGTTGAGGAGTTTGACTCGGGTTCCGGGCGGCGGAGTCGGGGGCAGTGACAGTGGCGGGGTCGGAGGGTCACTGACGTTCTTCTGTGCGGGGAGGTGAGGGGAGGCGTGCGTGCACGCGAGCACGTACGCACACACACACACACATTCACGCGCACGCACACACACACAAAAACACACGGGAGATCTAAAGTCCAATCTTTTCTCACCGGTGGAACGCATATTCAGGTTGTCCATGACACACGAAGGAGGTGCGGGCAGGGTTAGAAGCAGAACAGTAGAGGATGAGGAGGTGGATTAACAAAGAGAGATGCAGGAGGAGTCAATTTAAAAAAAAAAAACATTGACAGTAGGCGGTGGTGGTGGAACATGAAGCTGATGATGGTAGGAAGAGGTGGTGCTAGTTGATTCGAATATATGGATCATGACAGGAGGCGAGTAGATAGAGGGTAATGGGAGGTAGAAGTGGAACAGACGAGGTGGAACAGCAGAACAAGGGGAGAAAGGGAAAAAGAGGGCGTTGACAGGGTGACAGGAAAGATGGCGGAGGAGAGAGGGAGCAGGCGAATGGGAGAATGACAACGATAATTAACATACCAAGACCAGGACAGAAACGACGGAAGGGTTAAAAGTTGGACGGCAGACAAATTAACACAATCAATAAATGACGTTGGGAGGAGGATATGTAAAAGATGACGAGGATGATGACGACTGGAAGGCGATCACGGCAGCACGGGCGGACAAAGGGGTAACGGTGAGTCGGACGAAGATGGTTGGATGACAATGGACGGCTGCGAGAGGACGCTGGGATGGATGACGATAAAATCATCGTCGAGCGCTTCCGCACGCGGTCAGCGGGAGCGTGCCGCACCTCGCACAGGAGCTGCGTGTAGTAGTCGGTGGCGCCTTCCAGCAGGGCGCTACCGTAGGCGCCACGCAGCTGAGTGCAGCCTCCGTTGAGGCGGCCGCTGCCAAACGGTGCGAACAGCTCGTAGTTCACCTTGATCACCGGCTCCATGAGAGGCAGCAGCGGGAGCTGCGGGCCAGAGGCAGTAACAAACCATCCCGTGTCAGCGCCAGCCCCACCTCGTCACCTCTAAAACCATGACGGATACGCGTTACGGGGTGGGGGAGGGGGGGGGGGTCCGGTTTGAGTGGGGGGGCGGTCACTTTAGCCGGGCGTTGCTTTAGCAGCCCAGCTCCAACGTCAATGGAACGATCTGTCGAAAACTAGCTATCAGTGAAGCGGATAATGTAGATAAACATAAGTGACGTCCATCGACAAGCGATTCTGCTGGGTCCTGCCAAGCTACGCAAACTGAATCGCACAGGCGTGCAGCCGGCTTTATAGCCACACTGGCGACACGATTCAAGAAATACTTCAAAGCAATGAGCAATTATTCAAGCCTCACTTCCGAGCTATTCGCTCGGTTGCTGGGTCATGGAAAGGGGCTGTAACAATAAAGGCACGGGGGGTTGGAGACCAGGAGCCCGGGGTTTGGCGTGGTGGCGCGGCCGGCACCTGCTGCAGCTGCCGGATGATGGCATCTTTGCCGATGCCGATGTCCTTGTGGTCGTCCTCGGTCTTCTTGCGCTTGCGGATGGGCGAGTCGGCGCCCCGGTGCCCCACGCGCTTCCCCTTCAGCTCCAGCTGCCTCTTGGCGGCGTCGCAGTCGGTGTCCCCGGCGCCACCCATCTTCACGTTGAGGTGGACCCCGCCGGTGACGGACGCCTGCGGAGCACGCGGACCGGGTCGTACAAAAGACAAAAGATTCCCCCCGTATAGCCTGCAACAGACTCTTGGGGCGAGTGCTGTTAGCGAGCGCCTATGAAGGTGGCAATGTTTACACACCAGGTCCCCATTTGAGGCTGAGGGGAGGGGCCCAGGACCGGTTTATATAATCGTCACTGGTGATGGCCGTGAGCAGGAATTCAACTCGGGTCGCTGGGTTCGTGGTGCGGCGTGCTAACTGCTACACTACCGCTCCCCACTGGGGGAGTGCACATATCAGACATGGGGTCAATTACATGAAAAATGACAAAAGCATTGTAAGTCCAAGTGACTATTTACGTTGTAATTGCAACACATCGCAAATAGGATAATTACCATTGTACGTAGAAGGAGGGGTTCCCAGCATGCCCCTCGCCCCCCCCCCCCCCCCCCCAGTTATAGGACAGCATTTACACACACCGCAGATTCTGACACGAATCGTGAATCTCACCTCGACGTATCTGGGCACGGCGCACATCTGCTGCTGAGCCTGCGACATCACGTGCTCCTTGTCTTCGGTGCCCAGGCTGGCCTGAGCCGACACCAGCGCGGGATTCCTCGTCTGCAGCAGCTTCTTGAGCAGCTGGTGGCCCAGGTCCACCCGGGGGTTCTGCGCAAGAGCGCTGTCCGGCCCAGGCCCGTGCGAGTTGGCCAGGCCGCCCGGGCCCATCAACGCAACCCCTCCTCCGTCGGCACCGTCGTAGCACTGCGCCGCGCCGCCCACCATCGGCCCCGCCGCCGGCACCTCCGTCTTGACGGTCCCACCCTTGAGCGAGTACGCGCCGCCGCCATCCGGCGTCAGGCTCGGGCGACGGACGCCGTCGGCCGACGCTGCCTCGCCCGCCCTGTGCTGCGTCACCGTCCGGTCGAATTCTTTCCTGCCCTCCCATGGCGACTGCAGGTCCGGACGCGTCGGCGTCGACGGCACGCTGGAAAAGTGCAGCTCCGGCAGCTCGGAGACCGGCGTCGAGGGCTCCGTCGCCGGGTCGCCGCCGCCCGCCGTCTTCTTGCGGACCTTCCGCTTCTTGCCCTTCTCGTCGGGGATCATGTCCGAGTAGAGCTGGATGAGCGGCGAGACTGCCCCAGCGTACACGGGCGACAGCTGGTGCATCCTGGGCTTGCCGTCAAAGGGGGAGAACGCGGCGGTGGACTGCGGCTGCGGCGCCGCTCCCGAAGGGGACATCTGCCGCATTTGCGGCGGTGTCGGTCCCGGCATCAGCCCCATGCTGCCGGCCCCGGGGTTTCCAGAAGCGTCACCAGCGGTTGCGGAGGCCTGAGCCGGATCCTGAGCATACGATGGATTGTGCGAGGGCGACATCATGAAGTCCAATTTGCGAAGGTGCCCAGGCTGCTGCTGATGTTGCTGCTGCTGCTGCAGAGGAAACGTCTGCACCTGCATTGTTTGGTGAGGCATTACCAAGGCGTTCGCCGGTGCTGGTCCCACCATTCTCTGCCTGCCAAAGTTCTGCTGCATGAGCTGCGCGTTGGAATCCTGGAAGCCCTCGGGCATCTGTGGCGAGGCTGACGTGGGCTGGCCCGGCGCATCGCCGCTCACTCCCAGCGGCGTCGGCTGGCCCAGCTGTTGTTGCTGCTGCACGTTACCGCCACCACCGCTGTTCGGTAGCCTCATCCTCAGGAAGACAAAGGGGCGGTTTGGCCCAGCACCTTGCGCCGTGGTCCACGTGAGCGGCACGTGTGTGCTGCTCTGCTGCGGGACTGCTGGCGCTCCCTGCTGCTGTTGGTGCTGCTGCATCATAGGTAGTCCCATCCGCTGCCTGGGCTGTGTCATCATGGCAATTCGTATTTGCTGCTGCTGTTGCTGCTGTTGGGGGAGCATGGCAAGGTTTTGCTGTGACGGAGAAGCCATGGTCAGCCTCTGTTGCTGCTGCTGGTGCATCATGACAACACCTGCTTGCTGCTGGTGCATCATGGCTGATCCGTGATGGCCCTGGGGCATTGCCGCCTGTGCCTGCTGCATCATGGGACCTCCTTGCTGCTGCAGCTGCTGCTGCTGCCCTTGCTGCATCATGGGGAACCTCTGCTGCTGGCCCTGCTGCATGGCAGAAGCACCTTGTTGCTGCGGGTGATGCATCATCATGGAAGGGTGTGTCTGACTTTGCTGCTGCTGTTGTTGCTGCTGCACCTGGTGAATCATAGAAAACCTTTGTTGCTGCTGCTGCATCAAGGAAGCTGCCTGTTGCTGCTGTGCCTGATGCATCATGGGAAACCTCTGTTGACCCTGCTGCATTACGGCCATTCCTTGATGTTGACCCTGCTGCATCACGGATGCCCCTTGCGGCTGCACCTGATGCATCGTGGGAACTCCTTGCTGCTGACCAGGATGCATTGCGGGCATCCCCTGGTGCTGCACCTGATGCATCATGGGAGTATCAAGCTGCTTAACCTGGTGCATTGTTGACATGCCTGGCCGTTGGACCTGGGGGGGCATCATATGAATTCCTTGCTGCAAAACGGGAGCCCTCTGCTGCAGATTCTGATGCATCATACTGGCCGTTTGCTGCGGATGACCCTGCTGCATTGTGGTAGCTACTTGGTTATGCTGCGGCAACGCCGGCACAGATTGCTGCTGCTGTTGCTGCTGCTGTTGAGGCTGAATCATCATGGGAGACCTCTGTACCTGCTGATTCTGATGCAATGTGAGCAAGTCCTGATGCCGCTGGGCTTGGTGCATCATGGGAGGGCCCTGGTTGTGTTGAGCCTGCTGCATCATGGGTAGCACAGAGTTCTGCTGCTGAGCAGCAACAGAAGAATTCTGGTGTTGCTGTTGTGCCTGATGCATCATGGGAGAGCCTTGCGGCGACTGATTCTGATGCATTGTGGAGGCGCCTTGGTTGTGCGGTGGGATTGTCTGCGGCACTTGATGCTGCTGCTGTTGGCTCTGAGCCTGATGCATCATGGGAGTGGCTGGTTGTTGACCCTGCTGCATTATGGAAGTACCTGGCTGTTGAGCCTGATGCATCATGGGAGTTGACTGCTGTTGAGCCTGATGCATCATGGGAGTCGATTGCTGTTGGGCCTGATGCATCATGGTAGTCGATTGCTGTTGGGCCTGGTGCATCATGGGAGTTCCTTGCTGAGACTGATGCATCATGGGAGCTGATGGTTGTTGAGTCTGATGCATCATGGGAGTTGTTTGCTGCTGAGGCTGAAGCATCATATTTCCTTGTGTGCGATTTTGGTGCATCATGGGAGTTTCTTTCTGCAAAGCCTGATGCATTGCAGGAGTGGCGGGCTGCTGCTGGCGAATTTGATGCATCTGCTGATTCTGGTGCATTATGGGAATACCTTGTTGATGATTCTGATGCACCATGGGAGACCCCTGCTGCGGACTCTGATGCATCATGGGAGAGCCCTGCTGCGGACTTTGATGCATCATGGTACTTCCTTGCTGCATCATGGGAGATCCTTGTTGCTGGTTCTGATGCATCATGGTATTTCCCTGCTGCATCATGGGTGATCCTTGCTGCTGCTGACCCTGATGAATCATGGGTGATCCTTGCTGCTGCTGACCCTGCTGAATCATGGGTGATCCTTGCTGCTGCTGACCCTGATGAATCATGGGTGATCCTTGCTGCTGCTGACCCTGATGAATCATGGGTGATCCTTGCTGCTGCTGACCCTGATGAATCATGGGTGATCCTTGCTGCTGCTGACCCTGATGAATCATGGGTGATCCTTGCTGCTGCTGACCCTGATGCATCATGGGAGATCCTTGCTGCTGCCCCTGATGCATCATGCCCACGACCTGTTGGGGCTGCTGCTGAAGGTGATGGTGTTGCTGCTGCTGTTGCTGCGACATAACGCCGACATTGTGAGTCACGTGGCCTCCAGGCAGTGCACCAGCAGCGCCTGCAGGCTGAGCGTTGAAGGGCGACGCAGCCGTGTGGCTCAGCCCAGCCGCCTGTCCCCCTGTGCAGTGCTGTTGCTTTGTGCGATACTCTTCGATGAGATCCTCGTGCTCCTTCTGCTGCTTCTTGACCTGCAAGAGGGCAGAAGAGAGACGTAAAAAGTCACTCGAGCTAACGGCAGCGAAGACAACCGACGTTGCTGGCCTCCCCCGCTCAGAGCATCTTTACCCTGCACCCGCAAGTCTGGTTGAATAATCCCCAACCAAAACGAAGACGTAATCCAAAACGAAAACAACCTCTTATCTTGTGAACACGTATGCAAGGCCATGTGTCCCGGGCTCTCCAAAACTATTTACTGTATAAACTTTGCCCTTGGCAAAAACATAAACTTTGAAGATACTTTAATAGTGACACCACTGCAGTGGTAATGCATCAAATAATATATAATTATATCGGAAGGGATCTCAGTAGTAGCTCTGTGTTATCTACTTCCGAGAACTGTTCTCTCACATGAAGGATCACCCTTGTTCTGCAGGAGATCCAACGATAGCACAACTGGGATAAACTTGGGAGGGGTTTGAAAAAAGATGACATTTAAAAAAACAAGATCTTCAGTCCACGCACGCAACACACCAATCGCCCACCCAATCGTCCGCCTGCCCGCCCACCTACCCAATCGTCCGCCCGCCCGCTCACCCACCCAATCATCCGCCCGTGCCCCCATCAACCCACCCGCCCACCCAATCGTCCGCCCGCCCCATCCTACCGACCCGTCGGCACCAGCACCCACCTGCTGCAGCTGCTTTTGCACGAGGCTCTGGCGCTCGGTGACGTGCTTCAGCTGCTCGGCGTCTGCGTCGGCGAGCTCACGGCCCGCCTTCTTGGCCGTGCGCTGCTTGGCCGACAGCGCCTTTTTCGACTTGCGGTGCGCGCCCACCTGCTCCTCGAGCGCGCGGTGCTGCATCCCCAGCAGCGTCTTGGTGTGCAGCAGCCACTCCTCATACGCCTGCCGCTCGTCATCCTCTAAAGAGGGGAAGGGGTGGGGAGCAGACGTGGTGGTGATGTGGCAGTGGTCGTTGACGATACAGGCGGACCTGATATCATGTTGCAATACCCATGACCGCCGTTGTAATAAGCCACAATAAAGGCCTCTCTATCTAGCTTTGGACAATGTCATTGCTCCGTCTTCACATTTTCTCGGGCGTGTTCCCTCCTTTGTCTGCCAATCTTGCATTAGTCTTGATCACGAGCCATCAACCCTTCTAGCGATGTGTCCTGCCCACGGCCACTTACCGTTCTTAACAGTCGATATGATGTCGCTAATGTGTGTATGTTTACTAGTAACCAGGCCAAACCCTGTGTGGCTTGCAAAGACTCCATTGTTGACTTCCCACAAAGCGGTACTTATCCTATAGACCTTGAGTGGTGACGGGCTGAGCTGGCCTTGGATTTGACTTGAATTTGAATCCATGACCTATTGATTGTGAGCCAATTGCTCAAACAACAGTGCCACCCACCCATATATATATACATATTAACTGTATGGAATGCATATTGTCGCTCGTGCGGTGAGTTAATGTGCGGGTGCAAGTTAAGTGGCGGTGGTGAGGAGGGCAAGACTCACTCATGACGCCGTGGTCGGAAGCGGGAGGGGCCGGTCTGGACACCGGAAGCACTCCGGGCCCATTCTCCTCCTGCTGCTGTGGCGGCGCACACAGGACCAGAGGATGGTTCCCATCAGTGGTGAATCAGAGTCATGCATTTACCCACCAAAGGCCTTGCCGAGTGCTATGCAGGAAAGCTCCTCCCTGCTTTTTGGATGACTGGCCATTCATTTAATGGTTTGTGAAAAACCCTCGCGAGCTGAACAGTTCCCCCACCGAGTCATCGGGCGGGCACCTCACTGCAATGTGACAGCCCCTTTTGTCAATCCACTGCTGGATGAGGGCCGTCCCCTTGCTATGCGGGTCGTAGCAGTTATCTGACCACGCTGGTTGATGCGTGTTGGTGTATGCGGGGAGCATAGACTTATATCACAAAGACAATATCACAAAGAACCAATTAAATGTGCTGCATTGCAGACTGCTGCCCGCTCTTTCACCCGACAGTCATCTATAACACCTGTTATGCATCGCAGTGGCCCAACAAAGCAACATTGAAGTTCAACCCCTCCATATCTCCTGACATCTGGCACATTCCAGGTCACCTGGTCAAAGGCGCAATTTATGACAAGATTCAGAAATTGATGACTCCCAGCACTGCAGGCTTTCCTGACAGGTAACTCACGGCAATTATCGGCGATTCGTCACTAAAATTTGTTTTCCTCGTAATGCAAAACAAAATCTGTAATGATTGGACAGATGGAGGGCACTGAAGTGTTTTCATGTTTTACCTGGTAGGTGTGCATACCCTGCTGGGGGCCTGGAGAGCCAGCCTCCCCTGGGAACACGGACCTGTACAAAAACACACAGACAGCACGCATGCGGCTTCAACTCGTCGTACAGAAGTGGCCGGGTGGGTCAGGGCGGTCACAAGCAGTGAGCTGGCGACGCTGAGTGCATCAACGCCAATGCAAGCCAGTCACGTTATCAGGTTCTGAAAATAGTGATTTGGTGGTTTCAGCTCAGTTTCTGCGTAAAAAATGATCATCATTTATGGGTCGTCACTGAAATACAAATTGTTATGCGATGAAGAACCCTTTCCCTTGGTTTTGGATACAGGAGTCTCTCTCTCTCTTGCAGTCACTTCAAGACTGTCATCTGCCTCGCTCCGACACAGGGCGATACACTGCTAGAATCTGATCACCTCTCGCATGTTTGAAGGTCTCAGCTAATGGCTGTACTGAATAATGACTGTTACTAGATTTCGATTTAAAGCTTTCGTGACTGCAGGGATTCATCTTCTTGGTTCTTTCGGTAAAGTCACGTAGAATTCTACGTGACTTTACCGAAAGAACCAAGAAGACTGTTACTAGAATCGTATTCTCACTTAAATCGGGGCCAACTCTGCATAAGAGTAAATTGACGAATATGATTTGACATGCAGTGAACTACCCGCTAAAGAGCAATATCTGGTGTAGGGTAAATTTAAGAACAGAGCACAGAAGCGATTCTGTGGAGTTTTCTTCCGGAAACGTTCTTCTGACGGTGCGACAACCATGTGCCAACTTTCTTAGCCACGTGCCTTTGCAGCAACACCCGTAAAGCAGTCGATACGTTCCCCCCCCCCCCCCAAAAAAGCAACGCCCTGCAGGCTGGCGAGTGTGACACGCCACGGCTCTCCCCGTGTGCGTTACTCACGTTACAAAGTAATGCAGCGCTGCTTTGACCACACGCGCACACACACACATCTCGACACAACGGGCTCCCGCCCACCTGTTAGCGACGTTGATGGACGGCCCGCCGATGGAGCCCTGCGACATGACTTTGTTGATGCCCTTCAGCACAACCATCTTGGCCTTGGCTATGGGGTCCGTTATATCGTCGGTGGCGAACTTGTCAAAATCTTCGGGAGGGGAAGCGCAGAGAGACGGAGGGTGTTTATATGTAAGTGCGGAAGTTGAGCAGGGTTGCGTGCGGTAAATGATATTGGCACGGGTGATCAGAGGAGACATGTTTCTCTGTGGTCAGGGCAGAGAAAGCCCGGGAAGGGTTACGCTCGCCTATGGCAGCCTGGAGACCAAGCACCCTGGTAGTTTCACTGGGTTCACTTTCCCCCCCTGTCGGAGAAAGTTTTCCCCAACTGATTTCAATGGGAGACGATGCCACATTTTTAAATAGGATATGTGTTCATCACTCAATTGCCATTCTAGATGAATGGTATTCCAATGTTATATTTCTACAAATGGTAAACATAGCTGCTTGAAATATTATGTTACTCTATGTAGACATTCATGTGAAGTTTCACCTATCAAAATTCCTGTATTGTCAGAAAAATGTATTCAATTTCACTTATATAACCAGCACATCTCACATACACACACCAAGAACTCCATTCACACACACATTTACCTTCTCACAATCAATCTCATACATACCCAAACAATCCTGGCAATACAGAGGGTCAACCCAAATACATACACACAGCAACCCTGAGCACACCCAACATATCACACAGATTATCTCGCACACACACATACACAATCCTGGCATCGATCACATCCCACACGCTCAACGTTTCAAACGCACTAATCCCCGGCACTCACCTAAATTCGCAAAAAACCCTTGCTGTCGCTGAGAGGCCAAATCTGGCTGCGCCCCGACTTGCTCACCACCACCACCACCACCCTTGCCGGATTCCGGCTCGTCCTTGGGAGCAGCCATCTCCGCCTGCCCGGCCGCGTCTCCCGCGGACGCCGGCGCCGCCTCGGCTCCCTCGGCCTTCTCAGCTGGCGCAGCAGCCTCGGAGCTTCGTGGGAGAGCGTCGGGCGCCGCCTCCTCCGACTTCTCCGTGGCCGTGCCAGGCTCCTGCTTCACGGGGTTGGCGTCGTCTGCACGGTCGCCGCTCGCGGCCGCCGCCACGGTCGTCGCCGCAGTCGTATCAGGGGTTCGAGCCTTCTCGCTCTCCGGCACGCTTGCTGGTTCAATGGGAGTGACGGCACTGCCGCCGCTCTTGTTCTGCGCTTCCACCATCTCGATGTTGGCCGCCTGCGACTCTTTCGCCGCCGCCGCCGCTTGCACTTGCGGCGTCGGCGCCTTCACGCCGGTTGCTGTACGCGCGGGGTCGGGCGAAGTCTTCTCGTCGGATTCGCGATCCACCGCCGCTTGCGCCATTTGCTCGCTTGCTGCCATCCTCGACCCCGCCGCCAATCCACCCTCCTGCTCCTCCTCCTTGTCCACCGGCTTTTTGTGCTCATCCATCCTGTCCTCCAGCGGGTCGGCGAGGGCCAGGTCATTGAACATGTCCTTCTTGTCGGCCAGGTCCAGCTCTGGGTCCGTGTAGGCCAGGATGTCGAACTCGCCAGCCTTAAGGAGGTCGTCGAGGTGCGGGTCGTTGGTCTCCAGGTGGTCGAGCGTGTCCAGGTCGCCAGCGCCCTTGCCGTCCACGGGGTCGAGGTTCAGGTTGGCGAGGTCTACGTCGTCCTCCAGCGCCTTGTGGGCGGCCAGCGCCTCGTCCATCTCGGCGCCGCCCGCCGGAACCATCTCCGGAAGCTTGTCGTCCGTGCAGGGCTCGGCCGCCAGCGCCGCTGCTGCCGCCGTCGACGTTGCAAGCGGAGAAGCCTGGGGCGGCTGCTGTTGCTGCTGCTGGTGGTGCTGCTGCATTGGTGGCAGCGGCTGCTGTTGTTGGACACCTCCAATAACCCCACCAGTGCCAGCGACGGTGGTGAGGCACGGCTTGGGAATGAACGGCGCCAGGTTTTGATCGGCGCATGTCTGCGCAACGGACTCTTGTGCCGGGACTGGTAGACAGTTCTGCTGCGGTTGGTGTTGCTGAAGCTGCTGGTGGTGCTGCTGCTGCTCAGCCCTCTGCTGCATCTCGGCAGGAGCGACGCCGACGCCACCGCCGCCAAAGTGCAGGCGAGGCCGCATGGCCGGGTTGTGCCTCAGCTCGATGTAGTACTGGCCCTGGTGCATGATCTGGCCTGCGATGCCATGTGGCTGGAAGGCTACGGGAGGTCGGGCCATCTGCCCGTTGGGGGGCGGCACCGCCGCCCCCGGCATTCCCGTGGGTTGAGCCGGAGGGGCCGCGTGGGACGCGGGGCTGCTCATGTCCAGCGAGATGGAGCGACGTAGGCCGCTGGTCTCCCCCGGGAAGCGCGGTGCCAGGCTCGAGGGCGACTGCTGAGCGGCCTGGGGGCTTGGGAAGCCGCCCACGCGCGTGGTATAGTAGGCCATCTCCGCCGAGCCGGCGACCCTGCCAGTGCCACGCGACAAAGCGTTAGCCGACAGATCGGCCTGAAACGGCGTCACCCACCCAGATCCGAATACCCCCACCCCCCCCCCCCCCACAGTAATTTCATGATGTCACCATCCAGGGGTAACGATTCTATTCAAGAATTTAATCGATTTTGATGCGTTATCATCTCGTTGGTATTGCTCATCAGTTGTTACATCTAATTTGTGTGGATTTGTTCACTCCCATTGTGCTCAGTGCACCATTTGTACATGCACAAACCACCAAACTCCCCATTTCCCCACAAAAAAAACTCTTTGTAGACTTTGGGCAGGTGCTCTTAGCGATTCACTTATAAGGGTGCCAAGGAGCACAAAAGGTGTGGCCAGGACCACGCCCAAGCCGCCTTGGTCTCCCCACATAATTTACTTATGAACACGAGTTGACCTACAGTGAGGGAAAAAAGTCTTTGATCCCCTGCTGATTTTGTACGTTTGCCCACTGACAAAGAAATGATCAGTCTATAATTTTAATGGTAGGTTTATTTGAATAGTGATAGACAGAATAACAATAACAAAATCCAGAAAAACGCATGTCAAAAATGTTATAAATTGATTTGCATTTTAAGGAGGGAAATAAGTATTTGACCCCCTCTCAATCAGAAAGATTTATGGCTCCCAGGTGTCTTTTATACATGTAACGAGCTGAGATTAGGAGCACACTCTTAAAGGGAGTGCTCCTAATCTCAGCTTGTTACCTGTATAAAAGGCACCTGTCCACAGAACCAATCAATCAATCAGATTCCAAACTCTCCACCATGGTCAAGACCAAAGAGCTCTCCAAGGATGTCAGGGACAAGATTGTAGACCTACACAAGGCTGGAATGGGCTACAAGACCATTGCCAAGCAGCTTGGTGAGAAGGTGACAACAGTTGGTGCGATTATTCGCAAATGGAAGAAACACAAAAGAACTGTCAATCTCCCTCAGTCTGGGGCTACATGTAAGATCTCACCTTGTGGAGTTGCAATGATCATGAGAACGGTGAGGAATCAGCCCAGAACTACATGGGAGGATCTTGTCCATGATCTCAAGGCAGCTGGGACCATAGTCACCAAGAAAACAATTGGTAACACACTACGCCGTGAAGGACTGAAATCCTGCAGTGCCCGCAAGGTCCCCCTGCTCAAGAAAGCACATATAAATGCCCGTCTGAAGTTTGCCAATGAACATCTGAATGATTTAGAGGACAACTGGGTGAAAGTGTCGTGGTCAGATGAGACCAAAATGGAGCTCTTTGGCATCAACTCAACTCACCGTGTTTGGAGGAGGAGGAATGCTGCCTATGACCCCAAGAACACCATCCCCACCGTCAAACATGGAGGTGGAAACATTATGCTTTGGGGGTGTTTTTTTGCTAAGGGGACAGGACAACTTCACCGCATCAAAGGGACGATGGACGGGGCCATGTATCGTCAAACCTTGGGTGAGAACCTCCTTCCCTCAGCCAGGGCATTGAAAATGGGTCGTGGATGGGTATTCCAGCATGACAATGACCCAAAACACACGGCCAAGGCAACAAAGGAGTGGCTCAAGAAGAAGCACATTAAGGTCCTGGAGTGGCCTAGCCAGTCTCCAGACCTTAATCCCATAGAAAATCTGTGGAGGGAGCTGAAGGTTCGAGTTGCCAAACGTGAGGAGTGGGACAAAATCCCTCCTGAGATGTGTGCAAACCTGGTGGCCAACTACAAGAAACGTCTGACCTCTGTGATTGCCAACAAGGGTTTTGCCACCAAGTACTAAGTCATGTTTTGCAGAGGGGTTAAATACTTATTTCCCTTATTAAAATGCAAATCAATTTATAACATTTTTGACATGCGTTTTTCTGGATTTTTTTGTTGTTATTCTGTCCCTCACTGTTCAAATAAACCTACCATTAAAATTATAGACTGACCATTTCTTTGTCAGTGGGCAAACGTACAAAATCAGCAGGGGATCAAACACTTTTTTCCCTCACTGTAAGAGAGGTCCAGTGCCGAATAGGATAACACTCGCACAGCCATGTTGGCTGCCACGGCCAGAAATCCGAACTCGTGTCGCCGGGTCCGTAGCGCCGCGCGCCAACCAATGCGGCACAGCTCCCAAAACTCACAGACACACGGACAGGCACGCGGTCGTCGCCAAACTCTCACCTCTGTCTGAGACGAGCAGCATCCGCCGTGAGGCCCCCCGGGCCCTCCGGGCTGGGGAACGGGGAGCGAGGGCTGCCCCCGGCGACGCCCGGCATGAACCGGCCAGGGACCTGGCTGAACATGAGCTGCTGGTTGCGGAAGCCCGGCATTGTGCCCTGCATGGCACAGACACCACGGCAGTAAATACGACGCACGATGACGTTCTAGTATGCAGGGAAGTTCAATCGTCCGTCCGGTCGGTCACAGCACTTGCTCGAGTAATTTTATTGTCGTACGGTATGGGTTCAATGAGCATGCGTTCATTTTGATTAGAAACCAAACAGAGGAGGAACGTATGGTGTTCATGGTGATCTATGTACTACCTATATGATCTTTACACAAGTTGAGAAACCCCAGAACTGAAGATATTCACCAAATCCATCGAAAATATCAGCGCGTGGTCAATTACTAATATAATGAGCCAGGAATGTCTATTTGTGTGTAACGCATGCGACGTCACTCCACATGCAGGACCCCTCCCCAATAACCACTAGCGGGTGACGTCACTCCACATGGGGCAACCACCCCCCTCATTAATAATCATGACCAGATGACATGAGGCACCGCCCCTCATTAATAACCCTTAGCGGCTGACGTCACTCCACATGGATCACCCCACCCCACCCCGATTAATAATCATGCACAGGTGACTGCACTCCATATCGAACAGCTTCCCTCATTAATAATCATGACCAGGTGAGGTCCTCCAAATGAACCCTCCCCCCCTCATTAATAATCATGAGCGGGTAATGTCACTGGACATGGGGGTGGGAGGGGGCGCCTCCTCCCCCCTCCTCAGCGTCAACTTACAACCCTCACTGCAAAGGCAGAACCCTCACGTCACGCGATCTCCGTCACGCTATTGAGACAGAGGTGCAAAGGACGTCATGATGAACAAGGGATTATAACCTTAAAATTAAATATGTCTGTGTCACCGCAGTCATACAAATTGCAGACAAATTGATGCAATGAATATAACGACGCGGTCTGATTTCGCTTGAATGTTTCAGATTTACTGCAATACACCCGTCCTTGGACGGGCTATAGGCTAGTATACGAGTGAATGATCAATAGTCAGACCTCCCCAAAGCCGCTGCCATTTCTGGCACCTTGCGGTGCAAAAATCCATTGAACGCCCGCGCAAGATGATTAAATCGTTCCATCTCCACGGCGCACCGACTCTCAGGGGTGTGTTCCCTGCCCTGGTTGCCAATCCATCGTTAAGTCTCGACCTGTGGTCATCAATTCTCTTATAACGACGCGTGACCCCTCAAAACCCACTCCGCTTTTCTAAACGGTCAACAATGGCATCTCCGCTTTGACATGCTTCACTCCATCTTTTCCCCTTTCTGTCTCTCAATGCAATTCCAAGCATGCAACATGTTTTGTTTTTGCTCCATCTGTAACGTATATACACCAGTGTTAAATAACTGACATATCCAATTTGAATGTGTAATATTATTGGGGAACCGTGCATTGTCTTGGTGTGGTTCAGGACAGTGTTTGTTGTTGTTGTTTTGCTGCCTTGCCCCAAATGCTTGCATTTGGTGTTGACAAATCGGCAGGAATTTATGTACTTGTGCAATTTGCACTGAGAAACTTTATGTATATTTATGCATTCATTATTTTTTAGCGACTTTTCTCTATCCTGCACTCAGCTTTTGTATCCATTGTTGCTGTAACTCTCTCTGACCTGCCCCTACTGGACATCCGTGAAAAAGAGCTCCATAAGCTCATCGGATTCTTCCAGGATAAATAAAGGAAAACACTTTTAGTCTCGCTTAAAAGCCTTCTTGGGTCTATTCGGGCTCTCAACTTTGTTCTCATGCCAAGGTGCGAGAGAGCAAGGCCATCCCGCACCTCGGGCACTGCCTATGCGGGAATCTCACCTGCTGTACCGGGTAAGGTGGAGGAGGCTTGTTCATGGGCTGTCCTTGAGGGGAGGTGTCCGATGACCAGAACATCACCCCGGAACCTCCCGGCATCCCCGTCTCCTGCGGACCGGCGCCCTGAGGCTGCGGCCTCTGCTGTAACACAACGGCGCACATTTCACGAATCGCCGCTAGTGCTATCGGTGCCGCCTGTCAATGGTTAAGACTGCAAAGTCAGCATCGTTAATCTCGATTTATCTATCAATCTAGATTCATCTAGATTGAAAACATTTCTTTAGAATTGCTTTTTGTGTTTAGTTGTTATTCTTTGTCCATCCCCCCACAACTCTGATTAGCGCGGTTGGCTACGTATGGTGTGAAATTATTTTAACATAAATACTTTCAATGCCATTATTACCACGATCGTCACAAGAGGCATGACACACGAAGCAAAACCATAATCACCGATTTCATATTCGTGAAATCTAAGGCATCACACAATATACGCTCTGCCTTCAGAATGTGGTAAAATACGAGTGGCGTGTTTAGAATTTGTATTCGGCTAAATAGAATGAGGAAGACAAAAGTGAGCACCAAGGGCCAAAGCAATTACATGACCACAACAGCCCATGGCGGAGAAGGGGCGGGACACATGAGGAGAGCAGTGTAGAGCATAACCCCCACCACGAGCAAATGAAAAAGGGGAGACACTGAGAGACACAAGAGAAAGTAACAGAGGCAGACAGGGAGAGACAAGCAGAGAGACAGGGAGAAAGACACAGGGGGAGACAGAGAGACATGCCAGCTTATTTGAAATAAATAAATATGAAATTCGGCTTCAAATAATGTTGTCGGTCGAATAGTATAAAGTACTATTCGGTGCGCCCCCAGTATCGTTACTATCGTCACAGCAAGCATTATCACCACGTACCGATCATTCCAGTGTAACCCATCCTTAACCAAGCACTACACAACCTACGTCAGCCAAACAACACAAGAGATACCACATCACCCACCGCGCCATGCTGTCCCAGAATCCCCTGCAGTGGGAGCACGTCAGGCCGTGTGGGCGCCATCCCCTGCTGCTGTGCCATGTGCACCGCGCCCGGCACGCATGCAGAGCCGCCCCGTGCCTTCGCCTGTGCCATCTCCATCGCACCGGAACCCGCGCCGGAGACGGAACCCAACGCCGCGGAGACTGCCGCCGTCAGGCTCCTCGCACTACTCCCTCCGGGCGCTGTCGTCGGCGAAGCGAGGCCGGGAATTTGAACGGAATCGCCTGAAAGCGGCGGCGTGAACATGTCGCGCGAGCCGGCTTCCAACGCTTCCACGGCGGCAGCGGCAGCGGCTTGTGCCTGCGATTGGACGCCCGGCGTCGTGGGCGGGGAAAACATCTCTCGGGGAGGGGCGGTGCCTGCTTGCGAGTACTTGCCCTCGACGTTAGTTTGCCGGGTCACCCCAGCCGCCGGTGCGAACTGCGCGCTGGGCACTGGTTGCCCGTCGCCGTACATTTCGAACGCGGGTTGCGACTGCGGCTGGCGGGCGTAGGGGTCGGCCGCAAATGGTCGCGGCGTCCCCGGAGGTTGCGCGTAGGGGTCGGAGGTCATGGGCCGAGGCGTCCCCGGAGGTTGCGCGTAGGGGTCGGAGGTCATAGGCCGAGGCGTTCCCGGCGGCTGTGCGTAAGGGTCGGAGGTCATGGGCCGCGGTGTTCCCGGCGGCTGTGCGTAAGGGTCGGAGGTCAAAGGTCTTGGCGTGTGGGGCGGCTGTGCATAGGGGTCAGAACTGAGAGGCCGGGGTGTCCCCGGCGGTTGAGCATAGGGGTCGGAGGTGACAAGGGGCCGCGGCGTGTGGGGTGCCTGCACGTATGGATCAGGTGGCAGCGTTCCCTGTGCGCCTGCGGCCTGTCCGTAAGGGGACGTGGGCAGTGTCTGCTGCTGCTGCGCGTAGTGCTCGGTGGCGCTGGGCGGTCGCCGGACTGGTGATCCGTGAATCGCGGACGGCGACGGCGCGTACCCTCCGGGGGAAACGCCCATAGGCGGCTGGCATGGCTGCCCGAGTGGAGGTTGCTGAACACCGCTGGGCGACATGACGGGCAAAGGCATCTGTTGCGGCGCTGGGAAGGGCGCCTTGAACATCTGCTGCTGTTGCTGCTGCGGCGGCGGCAGCTCGTCCGGCCTGGAGGAGAGGAGAGACGGGGGCGGCCCGGCGGCCCTGAAGTAGGGTTCGGCGATCGGCGACGGCCGCGGGGTGCCGGGCGCCTTGGCGTACGGATCGCACAGTGGCGCGGCGCGGGGCGCCTGCTCGCCCGCCCCTCTCCGGAACGCGGGTTCCTCCTTCCTCTGCGGCGTCTTGGGCATCGCAAAGTAGGAGTCGGCCGGCAGCGTCCCCACGGGGCGAGGCGTGCCAGGAGGGTTGCCGTACGGATCCAGGTTCGGCGCCGAGTGTCTCCTGACGGCGGAAGGCGGCGTCGTCGCGGACGTCGCCGTTGTCGCCGGCGCGGTCGCGGCACCGGGAGCGGACGCAGGAGCCTCGGGCGCGCCAGGGTAGGGGTCCCACGGCGACGCTGGGCGGGAGCCAGAGCCCGACTCCGGCGGGAGCTCGGTGTGGGGGCGCCCGGCGGCCTGCGGGAAGCCCTCGTGCGCTGGCGGTGGCTGCAGGGGCGCGCGCGGCTGCGACGGCGCTCGCGGCTTCACGAACACGTCGTCCAGGCTCAGCCCCTTGGGGTTGGACAGCGGCCGCGGGGAGAACGGCGCCAGCTTCCCCCCGCCGCCGTCGCCGCCGCCACCGTCGCCAGCGAAGGGGCTGCGGGCCGGCTCGGCCTGGCTGGCGGCGCTGGGAAAGCTCTCGCCGTCCGGGAATTCCGAGGCCGGCGCCGTAGCTGCGCCATCCACCTCCGCGTCGCCGGCGCCCTCCCCGTGCAGGCTCATCTTCTGCTGCTCCTGCTTGGCGAGCTCCAGCTTCTGCGTGGCCTCCAGCTTCGCCTGCTGCTTGCTCTGCAGCCGCAGTTGCTGCAGCGGAGACGATAATTGTGCACCGCGGTGAGCGCCTGCGTCTATGCTGTGATTGCCGCGAAATCGTTTCGCACGCTAAGGTGCAATGGGATATTAAAGTTTTTGCAATATCGGTTTCCTGTGATGTTGTAATTGTATTTCACATTTCTATTGCATTCCTTGTGTGTGCTTTGCTATACTTCATAGTGTGAATGAATATTGCTTTCAAGTTCATTAACTGCAATTGAATCAACGTATGCCTACAGTAAAGTCTTTGTGATCGATGCCAATCTATAATGCATATGAAGCCCACATTGTCTGTTACACTCAAAGTAATCAAATAATTAATGAGCTGGAAATACAATGGCATCACATAACTGCCATGCCGTAAATTTATTTACAACTTTCATTACTGTGTTCGTTATTTCGGGAAACAAAATGTTTACTAAAAAATGAAATGAGCAAAGTTAATAACAATACCACTACATTTTACAAAACGGACGATACCGTTATCATGGACCTTATATCGTACATTATAGCATAGAATCGCCACACTGTGGCAACCTTAGTGTACATACTGTACATGAATTGCTTTAAAGGACAAAATACATCCGTGTCTTTGTAATGGCTAAAAGCTACCAACTAACTGTATCACCTGACAACATTCCCACAACTGGCTCTACCTGGCCAACAACACGATCAATCCATTTTGCTATGACCGACTCATCCTGTGAATTCATTCCTATCTTGGCAGATCTTGTTAGATAAGCATGGTTGAGCCCGATTCGTACTTGGATGGGAAACTGGGAATACCAGTTGTTGTTGACTTGGGCCGTGAAGCAGCAAGAGATGGCAGTGCAGCAATGGATTCTTGAATCTATCTGTGCGGACCTTAGTGTTACCTCCCCGCTTAAGAGTGGGTTTTTCCCTGGGTAATTTTCTCCTACACGTCAAAATGTTCATAAAAGAGAACAGACCCCAAAACATCTTAATGAAGGGCCCTCAAAAGTCTTGAGATTCAGCGACATTTTCCTGGGTAACGTAGTAGGTTTTCGGAGTCAATGTTATAATTCGCAATTGGTTATTGGGTCGGCCGCGTAAAAGATCTGGCCATATTGTTGTTGAAAGACCCGGGTAAGTTGAAGAACATTTGAAATTTGGTCAGTGGGCATTAGTCTTTAACTTACCGGGTGAGCCGAGACAAATAATAATTGGTGCGTTAGACACTTGTACACATGACAATTTTATTTGTTTGGCCATGTCGGGTGGTGTAGGGTCTTACGACACAAGTTTGGTCGGATTATTTATTATTATTTTGCACCCTATTATCCTCTCCATAGACAATTATTGCTGCTTAAAAAGGACTTCAACAGCATCCATCCGTTATAGAATATACTCAAGACTTTTCAAGTATTTCTGTAAAGGAAGATGCAACCAAAAAACAAATAGCTCCGATACATACCCATTGCGCTGTAGTGACATCACTGCATTGACGCTGTATTGACACCTACGGGTTACAGTGACACACGACGTTACAGTGACGTCACTAGTGTGCAGGGTTGCCGCGATATCAATTTTCACGATACGATATAAATTTTTCATGAAATGTTGATCATCACGAAACAAGTTTCCTATATATATGTAATAGTACTTCGCATGTTTTTATTGTATTGTTTTTGCGCTTTGCAGTACATCCAGAGTGCTTTAACCGCAATTCTCATTAAACATAACCTGGCGTATGTCTTCTAATCATTGCAACTTTACAATTACACAAGCAATAATTGCATAAATGAGAAAACTACAAAATGATGGCGTCATGCCGTCACTTACTCTGGAAAATATTGAGCAAAGCACCAATACATACGAATAAGGTATGTATGTGAAACTTAATGATTGTGTTTGTAATTTCTTAAGTATTTCATCATGAAACAAAAATGCTTTAAAACATTAGATGGGAAACGATAATCATTATATGATATTTAGCAAACCGGTCTATATGGCTGATGTGGACCTTATATCGCACGGAACATCGCGGAATCGCCATATCACGGCAACCCTACTCATGTGCCACGTTGACTTATAAAACACAGCTTTTAAAATCTACTTCACCGTCATGGACAAAAAGCTTCAATTGTTGGGCTGCTCGGGACTCACAGCCGAGTTAAGAATCTACAAGGTAACGGCTATTTGCCTTTGGGACTTTGGGCTGCATCTTCCTTTAGGGCCAACCATCCGACACGCGATTCCTCGGATTTATTATCGCATCGGCAGAAAAAATCCTGGTATGCGTTGGTGCACGTACCGCGTGTCAAGGCGAGTGGGTGGCGGTGCGCTCGATTATAATGAGAATCATGCAGGCCGTTACAATTTCATATCACGAGATGCCCCCCACCCCCCCTTCTGTGCGCCATTATCCCTTCCACACCACTGACCTGTCGCTGCTTCCACTCATGCTCCTGTTCGACCTCCTTGAGCCTGTGATGTTCCTTCCCCTGTCGCACATGGACATCATCATACTGAGTCGACGGAAAATACTACGGATGGGCAAACAGATGATGAATGGATGGATGAACGGATAAATGGTAAAGTTACATGATGACATTTTACAAAACGGACTCTATGATTGTCGCGAATCGTATATCATATGGTACACACACGGCCTACTCTTTTCGAATAATGTCATGGGACCTCTAACGTCCACTGTAAAGCAGACGTAAAATATTTGATCATTAACATACACAGAAGAATTAACCGGGGAGGCCGCAAGGCTTGAACCACAAACCTCCGCAACAACTGGGTAGTTGTAAGGGCAGGCCGATGGGATTTTAATCAACGGATACGTTGGTAGTGAGGAAGATGGATAGATGAATGGACAGCTGGGTAGCGTCTTCCTATAGGCCCGATCTCCTTTTGAAACAATGCTGCAAACAAACTAAAACCCCCAGAAACATTTTCAGAAAGCATACAGCCAGGCAAATGCGCACACACACACACACGCACAGCAAGAAGATATCCACTCACAACTGGACATCATCCCCCAAGCCCTTCGCTCGTGAGGAAGAGCACAGACGAGACCGCGTACCGGGATCTCGGGCTCCGTTGGGCTAAACTGGTCGACCGTCTCGGGCAGCTGCTTCTTGCGGGGAGGCCTGATGCCGCTCTGTGCCCGCGTGATACGCAGTGCCGCACGGTTGTCTCGGGCCTTTTGCTGCAACAACGAAACAACAACCACAACGGTCAGCGGTCTACCGGCGTTGGCGACGACGCAGCACCGGCGACGCAAGCGCCGCCACCAAGACAGGACACATCACGATCTACCCCGTCGCTACCTAGAGTCACGTGTGGTGGTGGTGGCGATGACAATGGTGGAAGCGTCTGCCATGGCAAAAAGCAGCATCACGGCCACACTTATTGTCTGCTGGCGAGCCTGAACCAGTGATTGGAAATGCCACACGAAATTTCGACATTGCCACGGTAGATAGAAGCCAGCATCTTAACATGGTTGACTTGGTGGCACTTGTTTATTAAACTCTGAGGGGATCACGGGCTGAGCGGCTCCCCCGACTGCGACTATAACTCTCACAATATCATTTTTTTTTAAAAGAAAATCTGTCCAAGGCGAGGCCTAAAGGGGTTTGGGGGCAAGACTAGCAAACAAAATCAAAACGATTTGAGGAGCATTTTGCAATATGGGTTTTACAACAATAATACAATTGATATTTGCGTAACTCTTGTTATGTTTCACATACAGGTATCATCTGAGAGAAGAGAGCTTTGATTTGACCTGATTAAGTAATGTGGAGATAATTTTTACAAATGTGGACTGTGACGGAGGAACAATTGGCCTAGTCGTATTCGAATGAGGTCACGGGATCGTTAATGTCCACTGTGAGGCAAAAGGGGTGCCAATAGACCCCAGAATTAACCAGCGCAGCCGTGGGGCTCGAACCACAAACCTGTGCACCTCCAATTAGCACGGTGCGGCTACGTGCGGTGTGAAAGAACGTACATGCGTACATACTCTGCAACAAGCGACACGACGCACTACACGCTCGGCCACGTCAGCGCCGCATGACTCCAACACACGAAGGCACGAAGGTCGCCGCCGGGAGATGGCGTCTCACCAGATAGGGGGCACGCTCTTCTGTCGACGCCTTGCGCCACAGCTTGGCAATCTGCTTGGAGCGGGTCGGCCAGTCTGCGGGGGGGCGGCACGCAACAACACGGGAGGCCATCAACGACGCAGCAAGCGGCACACCGGAGGCAGAAGTCGCGTCAAAGCGGAAAACGGCGTCAATGGGGCAGGCGTCACTACATGTTAACTCATGCCCAGCACGGGCGGGTCAACAATGTCGACTTGAGCATACCGGGGAACTCGTGCCGCAAGCCGGGGAAGTTGATGTTGGCGTAGAGCACCGCGGAGATGGTGGCCATCTCCCCGAGCTCCTCGTCGCGCTCCCACTTGAGCGCGCTGCGCTGGTTGTAGGAGAGGCCGTCGCTCTCGCAGCGCTCGTCGCCGCCGGGTGGCTGTGAACCGCTCCAGGGTGACGCGGGCGACGCCACACTGCAGCCCGCTGCGGGGCTGAACGTGGCGCGCTTCTCACTGCGCGGGCAATAACAACAATGGCGGCATTGTTAACAACAACAGCGGAGGCGGTGTCAACAACAAGAATAACCCACCGGGCGGCATTGTTAACAACAACGGCGGAGGCGGTGTCGTCAACAACAAGAATAACCCACCGCTCGCCGCTAAGTGATGGCGATGTTACCTGCGTTGGCGCGCACATGAACGTATACGCGGCAATAAATCACAGATATCATCCGGAGAGTCCATTTCTATTTTACCAGGTAAGGCCCACGGAGCAATTAGCTGTTATAGCATAACGAAGTGGCTAATCATGTGGAAATTTATAGCAGCCAAATACTCTAAAACCAGAAGACCAGGAAAAAGAGGGAACATGTAAACTCCAAATATGCAGGTGTCAGGGTCAGAATCGAACTCGCGACCTCCTGTGTGCCAGGCGAGGTAGTTAACATCTCACAACCGAATCACGCAGACGACCGAGGCAAGTGGTGTTAGCCATTGTCTCCCAAGGCTGGTACGTCACACGAGCGGACGGTTTGGCCGGAAGTGCTGATGTTCACACACCTCACCACGTACTCGGTCAAGGCTGAGTCAACCTAGACAAGGCCCCAAACGGGTTCAGTTATGAACCCGCCACTGATATGATCCATGGCCGGGAATCAAACTCAGGTGGTGGGTCTCGTAGCGAAGTGAGCTAAGCACTGTGTCATGTCAACACACACACACGAACTTAATGGAGAAGATGGAGGGTTGTGATCTGTTTCACAGCTGGCTAAGACACCGTTAGGTTGGCACAGCCCAGGAGGCTGCACAGAACTTTCCAGGTTCTCTCTCTCACACACACGCACACTGTTACACACAGTTACACTCACCCGCTGCCCAAAGCTGAAAACACTGGCTGCGCCAAACCAGGAAAGGGCTCAGGCAGGATGTCGACGGCGCCACTGGTTGGCGGCTGTTGCGGCAGTGGCTGCGGCTGCGGTCCGTGTACGGCATGCGGTGCCAGCGGCGCCCGAGTGACCGCGTCAACACCACCGCCGCTGCTACCGCCGCCAGCGGTGCCGGCAGCGGCGCCGGCCACGGGCCCGGAAGCCGGCACGTCCATCGCGTGCATGGCGCCGTAGCCAAACGGCCCGGCGTGCGCCGCCCCCTCGCCCTGCGAGCTCAGTGCCGTGAAGAGCTCCTCCACGTCCTTGCCCTCGATGTGCGTGAGCTCTGTTGGCAGGGCGCACAGCGCGGGGTCAGGACGTGTCAAAGCGGGCCCCCCCCCCTTCCCCCAAAAGCACGCGGCCCGGGGCAGTCGCCCCGATCTGCCGTGTACCCTAGGGACGACGTTGCCCGCAGCACAGACACACCACCCAGAGCACAGGCAACGAAACCAGCATCCCCGTGTGAGGGGGGCTGGAAAAACAAGGCGCGGGCATCGGAGGGGGGCGCTTACCATCGGGGACCATGCGGTCCAAGTCGCTGGGCAGAAAGGCGTTGTCGAGCGAGCGTGCGTGGAACGCGGGGGGAGGCTGCGATGGCTCGCACGCCTTGTCTGTTCGAAGAAAAAGTGGAAAAATCGCTCCTCCGATTAGCAGGGTTGGCTACGTACGGTGCCAAAGAAGCTCAACATACAATAGGGGAGGGTGGCTTCAGAGACAACGATTTCTTCATAAATATTTTTTATTGATCCCCATATCACTTCTTATCTGTTGCTGTTAGCATATAGGGTGCAGAGCAAAGCGGGAGGTTTTAAGAAAAGTTGCACAGGGATCTCCTACTCCACACACACGCTGTGGAATAGACACCACAGGTGTTTTAAGACAGGATTGAGTCTCGTATCCCTGAAGGGTCTCTCCACACCATCATCATCAATCATCGTGTTCTATTCACTGGTGGACGAAGGACTCCTCATGCTATTGCCATCGCTCACGGACCCATATATAAATAAAGGCACACACGCAAACGACATGTATGAATGAATTATTGCACACACATTAATTCACGCATCACGGCTGTATGAAATCATTTTTATTGCTTAAGCAATTAATATTAGGTCCCTACTGCTGCCGATGATGACGGCCATGTTACCGTTTATAAACACGATTGCAACGTTGTCGTTGGTCCCGTTCGTTGTGTTGACAATGTAACGATGCCGATGGGTTTACTGGTAACGATGGAGACGTTGGCGATGAAACGGAGGTAAATGTGACGCTGCGACGTATGTGGCTCACCCGTGTCTGCCGGTTGCCGCCCCAGGTCCCGCGTCAAAATCCCGAGGATGTCATCGGAGAGCTCCGTGAGTGGATCCTCAGTCGCATCAACTGTGGGAAACCACCACCCAAACCACCATCATCAATGTCATCGTCATCATTTGGGAGAAGCCACCCAAACACAGAGTTGCCAAAAAAGGATGTCAGTGGTGCCAGTTGAGAATCTCTCACAATGCCACAGAATGCCACGTGGTATAATTCGAGGATCTCAGTTAGAAGTGCTGGCTCGATGCCTCCAACACAGAGGAAGGAAACACAAGCAGAGGGTTTGGACCCACGATATCAACTCAGCTCGACTGACATGGTCATCACGAGATCTCAGAGCTGCCCCCGGGCCCCTCCGCCACCCGATACCCGGGGGGCGTCCTCTGATGTGCCGGGAAGCCGTACCGTGCATCGCAGCCTTCACGTGGCTGGCGGAGTCGGTCGCCACGGGGACCGCGTGGGCCTCGGCGACGGTCGCGTCATCTGCACCGCCCCCCACCGGCTCCCTGACGAGCCCCGGGGGGGCCGACGGAGCAGCCAGCGGGGGGCACGGCGAGGAGAGGGGGGCCGCGTCGTCCAGGGCTGGGGTCGTGTCGAGCGGCCGGTCCCGCGCCGAGTCCAGCAGGCTCTTGCCGAAGAAGGCCTCCTGTGGCCAGAGACCAGCGATGTGTGTGTTAGTGTGTGTAGAGTGTGTGTTAGTGTGTGTAATGTGTGTGTGTATAATAGAGTGTGTGTATGTAGAGTGTGTGTGTGTGTGTGGGGAAGCGGTGGCGCTGCGTTGCATACTCGACGACCAGAGTTCAATTCCTGCTCACGGCCACCAACATTAGTGACAATTATCTGAACGGGTCCATGGGTTTCGCAAAGCAGTATGCTCATAAATGTGTCACTATGTCACCTAACTACTACCATATATGTGGAGTATTATACATGTAAAATGCTACATGCACAGAACATCACACTGTACGTAAAATACAAGATATGCAAATTATTACATATTATTCTTATATAAATATATATAAATGTAAGCATACATAAATGTAAGCATAGCCTATGAAAGTTTTCTGTGTTTAGTTTGTTATCCTTCCCCCGCATCTCCGATTAGCATGGTTGGCTACGTACAGTGCGAATCAACACACGTGTGTATAGATCTACACCATTGCAGGATGCCCATGAAATACAGGCAAGCAGCTCACTGGGCTCCTCTTGAAATAAATACAATCTATCTGATCTAAATAATAAAAATAATTTTGCTTTATATTTTTAATGGGCACAATATTCTCTCACACTCAAAGAGGGAGGCGTAAGGAACCACAGATAAGCGGGTGCCAAAAACTGCCCAAGTGCTGTGGTCCTCTATATGTTAAGGTGCTCCCAATCTTGTGACAGTCAACCTCAGGATTACGGCTGGTTGTTGAATCTCAGGCAAACACTCGGGTGAAGGCTACCGTGACGGTTAGGTGTGGACTTGGGAGCTACTTGAGGGGAGTCGACGTTGCACTTCATAGTGCGCATGATGCTCGTATGAGTCGACAACTTAAACACCAATTTCAACGTAAATCTACGACAGCAACGCTGCGGTTTGTTATTCGTGCAGACCTGAAGGTACGGAGGGAAGGTGTCTTCAAGCCGGGCTCTCTTCCTTGGGTGATTTTTTCTCAACCTTCCCGAATCCGGGCTCAGCAGCCCCTCATCCGTGGAGGGCTCTATGCACCCTGCATCGTCACCACCACCGCCACCATCATCATCACCATTGTTAACATTGACCCGATCACCATCATCATTGTTGACACCATCATCATTGCCATTATCAACATTAATCACTGTCATCATGGCCACCACAATTACAGCTGACAGCAACATGATTAATGTCGCCATTATCAATTCCACAAATGCTATCATCATTAATGTCACCTCTTACATCATTACAGAGTACAACATTAATGTTGTAGCTGTTACTACCAGAAAATCACCATCATTACCAATTTCATTATCCTCATCAACATTTGTATACATTTTATTCCTCTCCATTCTAAATAATTTTTCCACCCCCCCCCCACCACCACCACCGCCACCACCGCCATCGCCACCCCCTGCCCCGCCCCCCCCGTTACCGTCGCTGCCCTCGCTGGTTCGGGCAGCCGAGGGACCCCACTCGGTGAGCGAGAGGGAGCGTCCGCGCAGGAGCCCCCCGCGCCCGCGTGCCCAGCCGGAGCCGCAGCGGCGCCGCACCAGGAAGCCCCCCACACCTAGTGGCACGCGCCCAGCGGCGGGCACAAAGCGGGAGGGAGACGTCAGGGACGGTGGCGGGCGGCACGGCGTGCGGTATTGCGAGTGCGTGCGTGCGTGCGGTGCGGTGCGGTGGCGTGGTGGTTAGTGCAGACAGCAACAATCCCGGTGACCCGAGCTCACTTCGCACTCACAGCCAACATTGGTGATGAATACCTAAACTGGTGTTAAAGCCTCCTTTAGATCGATCCAGCCTTAAAATGAGTAGCTGGTGCAGAGTGTTAAAGTAGCAGGCAAAGGCAGACAGACAGCGTGGTACTGGCCACCCCACTCAATCGTGTGCCGTGCCGGCCTTCATTAGGTGCTCTCTAACGACACTTGCCACAACAGTATGTGGAGGCTAAATGGGGCGACCTTTGTCTTTGGTTGTGGTGGCATGGAGTTGGTAAGTTTATGTGTGGTGGTATGAAGATTGTGGGTATATGAGGCGGTGTGTGTGAGCTTCTAGGTAAACTAAACAATTTTTTTTCAACTAAACTACCTTTGTTCTTTCGGTAAAGTCACGTTGAAGGGACTTTACCGAAAGAACCAAGAATATGAATCACTGCAGTCACGAAAGCTTTAAATCAAAATTTAAACTACCTTTTTTATCTTACCAGGTAAGGTTCACTGAGCTATATAGCTCAGTGAAGCGACCTGGTCACAAATAATTGCTCAACGAAGCAAAAAAAAATCCACGTGACCCCGGGGAGAGAGACATGAAAACTCCAAATATAAAGGCTTCAGGGACATGATTGAACCCATGACCTGGATACCAGGCGAGGCAATTAACATCTCGCCACCGTGCTATTTCCCAGCAGGAAACTGCTTGGCCTGTCCATCATCACAGAGCTCCGGGTCGTGTCGAGGTGGTGCACACCCCCGCCTGGTGTGTGCCTCTCACCGGGCCTGTACAGCTTCCTCTTCCGGGGAGACGTCTCCTCCTTTGGCGGTCTCCCACCGTCCGCGCCCTCCCGCTCCGGGCTGGTCAGCGTGTCCGAGCGGCTGTCAGGTCTGTCCGTCGTCACCACTGCGCGTGCATGCACAAACATCTTAACGTGTACGCCTGCTCTTAAATGCACAACTGAACGATTCAAGCCCTCCCCCCAAGATATGATGTCATCATCCGGGGGTCACAGCTCAATTCAAGAATCGATTACGTGTCGTCTCTTTCATACTATCTCACAGGCATTGTCTCATATGGCGCAGTGGCTCGGCTAATGGAGTGTGCAGGCGGTGTCACTGTACTGTGGCCCACGGGCCAGAGGGACCAAGGCACTGAGCTGCATGACGCCAAGATGACGCCTACACCATTGGAGACACGCGTGTGCGAAACGAGTGCATTCAAAACGCACCCACAGTCACGCCGAGACCAACGACGTTGTACTATGTAAAAAAAAAACACATTACTGCATAGGGAGCTGGTTGGGTTGCTCGGTCAATGGCCAGGGTCCATGGCGGCATGGTGTAATCCGCCAATATGCCCGACTGTGAGGGCGGGCACAAGCTGGCGTGAGTAGGTTAAACGTTGAGTTTTATAAGGGCACCACGGGGGGACCAGACCCTCCCCACCCAGCCCCACCCCTCCCACCCCCCACCCAGCCCCTCCCCACCCAGCCCCTCCCCACCCAGCCCCTCCCCACCCTCCCCTTCCCACCCAGCCCCTCCCTCTCCACCCAGCCCCTCCCCACCCTCCCCTCCCCACCCTCCCCTCTCCACCCTCCCCTCTCCACCCAGCCCCATCCCTCCCATTTTTGGATGCACGACGGACGGACGGACACAATAATCCCCTGTGGGCTGCTGGTGTAACCAGGAGGTTCCTACCAGTAAAACCTCATTTCTTGAGTTCATACTGCCGTCGACCGGTCAAATATCATTCATAATAATAAATGGTACAAAGGATCGAATAGTGGGGGGGGAACCCCGGAACCCCCCCCATTTAATTTAATCCCTTGCACCGGGCCCCCCCGCCCCGTGCCACCCCAGCTCGGCCACTGACCACGACGGGGCTGCTCGGAGCTGCGCTCGGCATCGCGGGGGCTTGTGATGTCGGAGCTGCCGGGGTCGCTCGAGTCTCCCCCGGGCACCGCCCCGTGCCGCAGACGGGCTCGCACGCGCCGCCGACGCGCGGACGGCTCCAGCGCCAGCCGCTGCAGCTGGTGCAACCCAGATTCGGTGAGGCACACGCCGTCCTGCGTGTACAGCCTCGGCGCCGGCTCTGAGAGACAGACGGGGACGGACGGACGCGAGAGTTGACGCGCGGGTCAGACGGACTGACGTACGGATATATACGGGCGGACGGAGCAGGGGGGTTGCATGAACAGGCGGATGGATAGACGTGAAAGCGGACGAGTGGTCAAGATGAATGAATGGACGAGCGAACAGAGAGAATCATGCAGCAAATGTCGGAAGGCCCTTATCCTGCAATTAGACTGACCAAGGTGTGTATATGTGCACTAACTATTATGACCTTTACTGCCACCATCATTCACATTATCCTCTCTTCATGATCAACATCATTACTCAATCCGCCACTGCATTTTTCTTCTTCAACATAATCGAGATTGTCGTTGTCATTATTATCACACGGGGTACCTGGTTCCATGGCAATGGGAAGAATCTCTGAAGTCGCCTCAACTTTGCTCACAGCATTGCCTGCAGTAGTAACACAACGACACAGCAGTCTTTGTAAAGATCTATTCAGTTTGATGTCCTTAATGTCACCAAACAAGAGACAGCTGAGATAAAGGACAGCAAAATCGAATGTAGTACTTTTTTCCAATGGCTACTCTCCTCGCCTTGACCAACAAAGCACTGCCCATCGTGCTGAAGCAAAGTCAAACAAGTGCCAGATTGGGGTGGGCCTCATCCAGCAGTTGATATAACTTGGGGCTGTACACGTGGTTCAATGTGGACCATGTACAAATGTCGCCTATGTTTAAGGACCAATTAAACAAAAGACATCACAGGCAGCACCAACAAAAATATCTGATTGGGCTCAAGGATTAAGGGCAGGTTTATGCTGCGTTCCTTACAGCGACAAACACACAAGCGGGAATGTGTCCGTGTCAAGGTGTTCGAGTTGGAGAAAATTGCTTTTGGGTGCCAATGAGTTGGAAGGATGGAACGTTAACAATGATGAGGCATTGAATATTCAGCGGATACCGAGAGAAAAGACAACAGCAGTGGAGGAAGACAGTGGAAGACATGGCAGCGGCAGCAGCTACACAAAGCAAACGAGTTTGGAGGCTATGACAGGAACGGGGAAAACTAAGAATAGGATGGAATGGAAGAGAATGGGGGAGGACATTCCCCAGCACGGGGGGGGGGGGGAGTCACTGAACGACGACGACGCTGTCAACAGCAGACCGGCAGCCAATTGGATGGCTGCAGGCGGAACCAAGGGCTGCAATATTTATTTTGTTGAGAAGATCGGTCGCATGAACACCAGGCTTTTTTTTCTGTTGTGGAGTCAACACTTATTACGAGCGACTTGCATTGCGTGACATTCGCGTTTATGCAAGCCCAAGGTCAGGTGGAACCGACGCTTGATGCTGGCAGGCATCTAAATTTATGCTTGCATGGGTCTCTTCTGGACAACCGCTGGAAGCATATCGTGAGTATAGAAGAATTTATGATTTTTAATTGTCGTATTTCAGATTCACAGATTTTTTTCACCACAGACGCGACATCACAATAGCAATATCACTTCCTGTGACGGCATTATTTCTGATTGGCCTGAAACAATAATTTCGAAGTCTAAATCTGGGTTGGATTTTCAGATTTTTCCAGATTTATCCAATAACCAGTAACTGTCGCCAATCGACAGCATTTTAAGGCTGCATCCTACGGTTACGAATACTGGCGAGTGTGAGCAATAAAATTAAAGCATGGGGCGAGAGCCAGAACCGACATTACGAACGGTGGGGTGTGCGCGCGTGATCGCTAGCAAACATTAACCCTTTCCCGTTCAGTTTTTCTTCCGATTCCGTACGTTCAAATCATCGGAACGGAATCGATTCTGAATGGGATTCAATTATGAACTGAATCGGAAGTAAAAGGCCATGCGGGAGGGCATGTGGCACAGTTTGGCCCCTGCTATCATAGACTGCGGTCGTGTCGCTATAGTTCTCTGTGGTGAGTACAGTACAATGCCTAGAAAAGCAACGGTGGTACGCTTCTCTGACTAAAGTTAACGCCGACCGCTTGCGCATTTCGAGATTCAACGGTGAACGCGACTCACCCTGCAACTTGCAGACGTCTTGGAACAGAAATGGTTAATGAGGCTGCTAAGGGAGAAGAACACTGGTGGACGTGAAAACGAGGTTTTGTACCTCGATTAACAAAAATTTAACTTGCCTCTCTCTCGTCCTGTACTGCTGGGACACTGGACCCAGTGGCCGACAGTACAGGATGAAGAGAAACCTGGAATCATGCCAGCTACGACCGCCGGAATGGCGGTTAAGCACCGTTGCCGTACCGAGTGACACTGTGGAATGCTGGCGGCATAAGGAGCAGTCGAAGCCGTCATCGGCTGCTTTCTCTACCTCCTCCTCCGAGTGCAGCCCCTCACACGAGCCGTGCATCCACCTGCAAACGGGCACCATAGCAGCAGCAGCAGCAACCGCAGCAGCGATCAGCGGCAGCGATCAGCGGCAGCGAGACAAATAAAGTTAACACACGCAATGCGAATGCGCGACGATCGTGAGTACGAGGATCGATTACAATCAACAAATTGTCACATGGCCTCCAGTGCTGATGATTATGGTTTCAAAATGGAACTGGCACGTGGTAAAAGAGCAATTTTATTTTGCATAGCGTTTAAATTAACCTGCGACTCAAAACAATGCAAAAAAAACTACATTATGGTAAAAAAATCAGGGTAGCAGGGTAATGGCAGATATATGTTGTCATATTGCATTGAGAGTGGTGCACAAGTAAATGGCCCTCATGTTTCCCTTCGAAGAGCAGCGCCACAGCGGCGGAATGTGTCAAGATTTTGTTATTCATGGGCGCGAGAGACAGCGCAACACGGCAGCATGGCATGGATTGACAACAACGACAACAACAACGATGACAATGATGACGATGAGCCTCAGTGAGAGCCGGGGGCAGTCGGGGCAGCACCTAGGAGCCCCTGGGAGAGCCGGGGGTAATGTGAAGCGTGCGTGAAGGAGGTGTATGCACATACCTGTCGCACTGGCGGCACTGAACGATGAGCTGCTGCTCGCGGTAGGCCTGAGAGCACACGGGGCACGTGGAGAGGCTGGTGCACGGAGCGCACTGCGTGTGGTTGTTCTGCCACTCGCAGCGGAAGCCTGGCTCCGATGCCCCGCACTGCAGGCAGCACACGCACCTACAGCATGCACGCACGGTGAGCGAGTGAAATACTAGATTTGAGTACTTGTGTTAAATCTGGTTTTCGTAGTAGTCACTGACACGCTCCGAACATAGACTTTAGAACCTCCGATTGGTGCGAAAAAAAGTTGAACATACATAGTTACGTACATGCACTGGGATGGTCTTATTTGCAAGAGTGACCTCTGGGCAGAGGCTGAGAGGCAGGCCTAGAAGAAGATGGCTGGAAGTGCTGAAACAGGATGTGAAGGGACTTTGAAGTGGACGTGGAGATGGCCCAGGATAGGAATGAGTGAAACTTCGTGGGCAATGCTACAGTGGACAGTGCTACGCAGGTTGTGGAAATACTCATGTGTGTGATTACAGTTCTGGTACGGCCTATCAGAATTTTTATTTAGACTCGAGGAATCCGATGAGTTACACAACTCCGTTTTCACAGATGTCCAGTTGGGCAGGCTTATTACTTACTGCTAGTGGTGGTGGACAACGAACCACCACGAGCTTTCAGACTAAAAAAAACCCAACAATCAAATCGACTTTTAAGGATTAATACGGCGTCCTAAATGCCACCGCATCTCAAGACGCATGGGGAGAAACCAGTGGACATTACTTTGCCGAGAGACAGATAGAGGGGTAATGGAAGGTCACAAGCCAGAGGGCAAACCGTGGGGGGGGGGGGGGGGAAGCCACTTTCGAGCGACCGAACTCTTAACTCACCACTTGCACTTCCAGCCGCCCTTGGGTACTGTGTGCAGGGGCGGTTCGAGGCAGTAGATGTGGTAGCTGATGTCGCAGTCGTCGCACAGGAGCAGGCGCCCGGGGTCCGATGTGAGTCCGCACGACTCGCACACCGTGCACTCCAAGCAGCGCCAGCCTTTGCTCAGCACCACGCGCGTGATCTGATGCGCGCGCAAGGACGCACAGAGGAGAAACGTTCGTGACAGGATTCAACGTAACGCAGTAAGGTTGGATGATGATCCAGCACTCACTAAAAATGTACTCCAGTAACTCGCTCACAGTCGCTCAGTCGCTTCCTTGTCACTCTTCTATCACTGCAACCACGGTTTCTGTTCTCGTCAACCTCACTCGTTGATTCCTCCACGCATGACGAAGATTTGGTCTATCACACTGTTTCGCGTCAACCGTACTTGTCTTCAACCACCACCACCGTAATGCAGGTCACCACACTTCTCTTTCTGCTCTGTCCCTCACAGAGCTCGACACTGCAATTCCCTCCCACAGCCTTGTCCCCAAGCACTTACACCACTAACCTTATTTCAATAGGACAAACGTGTCACAATTATCGATGATAACTCTGATATAGCGCTGTTTGTTGCCGTCCGAGTTCAGCCCGACCAGGAGATTTCCGGGCCCCTCTCACCTTGGTTCCAACGCAGTACGGGTGGTAACACTGCCCACACTGCGAGCACGCGAGCAGCTGTCCCTCGGCACCGAGCCCAAAGCTGCCGCATACGACGCACATATCCTGCAAGCATACATGCCAAAGCAAAAGACCAAGGTTGCTCGTATGGCCTTAACAGACTTGGTGAGGCAAGAGCGGCTAGCGAGCACATATTGAGTCCTGCACGACACACGAAAGGGGGGTGGCGGTGGTCAAGACCACACAGAAATATACGCAGGAGCACGCATGCACACGTTTACCTATAGCCTTTAACAGACTGTTGGGGCAAGTGATGTCAGCGAGTAGCACCTATTACTAAAGCTGTCATGGTGCACAAAGGGGGTGGGGGGGGATGTGGCAAGGGCCACACACGGCCACCTTTGTCTCCACACCCTGTAATAAATTATGACCGAGTCGACATAAGAGGCCCAGGGCTACTTCAGATATTCGCTGCTGATGTTAGCCGTGGATGGACATGGAACTCACATCGCCGGGTTTGTAGCGTAGTGCGCCAACTACTGCGCACTATCGCACACATGTACGGGCACAAAATGGCACTTTTCCAAAGTTTTCAAGCATATAAGCACACTTTTATAATGGCTTTCAATTGGCCCTCTCAACAAATACTACAAGGCACTCCCTTAATGCTTTGTGAAGAGTGCTTGTTGCTGTCAATCAATCGACATGTTCATCTTTAGAACAATGACAAACCAAATTATTTAAAAAGACAATCAGCATGGCCTTTTTTGTTTTAAACATGATGGGCGTTTTTTTAATCCAGCCAGGCCGCACTTTTTTCAAAGGATCTTGAATTACAATGAGAAGATTTTGAGTTCAAATTCCGATCAGGGTGACAGATGTTGCCCATAACTGCTCAGGTGCTGCCCCGGTTTTTTGTAGACAACTTTGTGGAACGTTTCCATCCTGCGACTAGACTGGCTTCTCTTGCCAGAAGAGCATGGTGTTTCACCAACCGGCTCTCTCTCAGGGCCACTGACATAGATAACCACATCCCCTCACCCCCCCACACTAATTTCAGCATTTGGAACAACTGCCACTTGAATGTTGTGGGTGTGACCGTCTCTGAGACCATCTCAACAGAAGAAAACCTGGTTTAATTCCAGGTTTCTGAAACTCGAAGATTATAAACCCAGGATCACAATTTGGTGGCTCAGATCAAGGCGACCCGCGGATCCTCCTGACACGGCCGTTACGAGTCTCGGGCTGCGCTCCCCGTACCTGCTTGAGCGTGTACTTGTCGTTGGTGGAGAAGAGAACGACCGTGTTAGGCATCGCGTCCTCCGACGGCTCCTCCTTCTTCATGGAGCCCTCGGGCGTGAAGCCCTGTGTCGTGGAGACAATAAGAGCAGCGGGCGCGCGTGGCAGCAGGCAGCGTAACGGTGAGTCGTGCAAGGATGGCACGAAAAGAAAAGATGGGATGGCACCGCTATTCAAACGTGGAGGGGAAAAAAAGACTGCCGGGTTTAAAATTGAACAGCTTTCACATGAGAACACCACCACACAGGGTTTCACCGTATCAACGCCTACACGACATAACAATTACCACCCAATGCCCATGCCTAACAATGTAATGCAATTTGAGTTCGCGTAGCACAGAGCATCCCAGGACGCTTTCACGATAAAATAAATAACCGAACAGACAAGCCATTGGGCCAAACAATCCAACAAAAAAAGACGCGTTTGATTTAAATGCCGGCAACACACACTATCGCGAACCAGAGGAAGACACGTAAAATTGATGGGGCAATAACGCGTTAAAAGGTGATAGATGTTATGGACGTTGAAGAATGAGGCCATAGTAGTTAATTAAGACGTCACATAATGGCTCCAGCAAAAACTGGGTCTAATTCGTGGCAATGCCTCTTTGCCCTCCTCTTACCAGCAACGAATTAATGAATGTGAAACCGCAGAGCCGGAGGTTGGCCAAAAGAAAGCGAAGGACCAAATACTTGAAGTGATTTTCTGTGTAAATTTCAATGAGGATTATCGGTTGAAACCATTGCCACTTGCTAAAGACGAGAGAAACCAGTTTAATTACGGGTAGGTGAATGTCTGGGCTGAGAAGCCAAGATTTCTGCGGTGCCTACCCACTCAGCGCTTTTGCAGGCCCGCGACACGGCCATTATGAACCCCTCCCCACAACACCCCAGGGCTGCCTGACCACCTTCCCTCGTCTACCCAAGTTACAAAAACATTGCTTCACCCCCCACCCCCAGACAAAGCAAGCAAGCAGCAAAGGATCTAGAGATGGAGCCAGTGCTCACAAACACCCGAGTTCTCACCCCGGACGTGGTGATGCTGCCCGTGGGGGAGCGGTAGCTGCCCCCTCGCCCACGGCCCCTACTCTGCGGGTGTCCTCCGGGACCCCCCCTCGGGAACCTCCTCCCACGGAACCCGACGCTGGGACCCTGCGGGTGCAAGGAAACATGGCACAAAGTCAAATCGCGAGCATGCGTGGCCGTCGCGCAAGGCTCTCGCGAGGGCATCGTGGCTCACCGACAGCCTGCAGCTGTGTCACAACGAGTGGCGATGACTGCTCTGTGCTCTCGCAACCGAGTCAATTGGAAGAAATCATTTGAATTGGACAAATTGACCACAGGTGACCTCAATTTCGCACGTTTTAGATTTATAACGTCCACTGTGAAGCAGACAGCATGTATTTTTATAGTTATTACACCCGCAAAATTAATCAAGGCGGCCGCTGGATTTGAATCGTGAACCTCTGCAACAAGCTGCGAACGCATCAGTGTTGGGCCCTATCACTGTAATTAAGATACCAAAAACAAAGATCGCCTGCATAGCCTTCAAAGACTGTGGGGGCAAGTGCTGTTAATGAGCACCTATGAAGGCTGGCACGGCACACGAGAGGGCGGGTGGCCGGCACCACGCCCGACCGCCTTTGTCTCCCCAGTGCCGATGTTAACACACCGCACCAGGTACTCAATTGAGGCAGAGTCGACCTAGGGCAGGCCAAGGACCAGTACAGATAATTGGCACCGGTGTTGGCCGTGAGTGGGAATCCATAGCGCTAACGCAATCCACAATTAAGAAAACGCACACACCATCACACACGTCACCTGCATTACCACAACCGTCCCGGCAACCAATCAACCAAGCAATTGCGGTGGCAGCGTTCCGCCCACCGCTAGGCTGGCACAATCACCTGCAGGTGCCGGATGCGTGAGCGGCCAGTGGAGAAGCGCTGCCTGAAGATCGCCGGCTTCCCCATGCCGATTCGCGGCATTACCGACTGCGAGGTCCCTGAGCAGCACGCCATGGAGTATGCTGAAAACTTATGGGCTCCACCAATGTTGACGCCGCTACCTCCGCTGCTGCCACAGCCACCACCACTGGCGCCGCCGCCGCCGCCAATGGTAGGCACCAGTCGTTCCCTGACCGGCACAGCTGACAGCGCTGTCCGCTCGCCTGACGTCGAGAAGGACTGCGCGGGAGCAGCACCGGAGGGACGTGACATTGCCACGGTGCCAGCGGTTGAGCCCGGCACCGCGATCTTGCCCAGTGGCTGGGGATTCGATCCGGTAGCCTGCCCCGGCGTTCCGGCGACGCCCCTGTCGACAGGACGCGGCACCCCGTGCCTCTGCGTCGGCTGCTCTGCGCCGACGCCACTGGCACTCGGCGCCTCCCTGGGCCTGTGCCGTTCGGCGCCGGAAACAGAGGGCGCGTTAGGTGGGAGCAGGCCCGGCGGGCGTATGGGCCGACCCATCTCACGGGGGTGGTACTTGAAGGCGAGGGCGGTGGCGCCGGGCTCGTGCCTCGCCCCGCCCGGTACGTGCCCGTGCGGGGGAACCACCTTGGCCGGCCTCGCGGCGCCGGGACCGAAGGGCCCGGAGTGCGGCGGTCGCGACGCGAGTTCACCGTGCCCGTGGGGGGTGCCGTGCGGCCTCGCTATGCCCCCCGCCGGCGGTGGCGGTCGCCCCGTTGGCTCCAGCTTCACGTGTGACTTCATCTTGTCGCGGGGAAGTTCACGCGGCCTCCGAGGCCCCGTGAAGTTGAGGCCCAGCCCCGGCGGGCGATCCTCCCGACCGTCCAGCCTGGCTTTGTGGAGCGCGGCGGCGCCGGCGCCGGCGGCGGCGCCGTGAGGCAGGCCCGGCATCGGCGGCCCGAACGGCCGGCGCACCGGGTGGCGGTCGCGTTGACGGTCCACGTCGCTGCCCGCGGCGGAGGGGCCGACGGGCGGATGGCGGTGCCGCTCGGCGAGGCTCGGCCCGTGAGGGGGATGAGGGAGCGCCGGGCGCTCGGGGTCGCGGTGCCGGGGCGGCAGGCGCAATGAGGGCGGCCGGGCGGCGTCTGTCTCCCTGCAGCCAGAGCCCGACGCGATCCTGGAGGCTGGGTCTGCAAAATAAAAAAAAAAACTCGTTCGTTGATCAAGAGAGACATCTCAAGCTGGCGCGTGCAGAAGGTGGCGATATCTGGATTGACCATAGGGGGCTCGAAGCACACGGTGATTCACCAGTTATTTGGACATCTGTGAAGAAGCGTTCATAGCTCATCAGATTTCTCTGGGATAAACATTTTTTTTTCTAAATTCACCAGACTGAAATCACCAAACTTGTCTTGCACAATAACCTGTGTGCTGACTGTACAAAGTTAGCTAAATTTGATCTCGGGACAATAATATGAACTAGGGACAATAAAAAAAAGGTTCAAATAAGAACAGCGGATCCTTGGATCAACGTGCGTGCTGCTGTGAGCATGAATTTGTTGTGCAAGAGAAGACACGTGCGTGGGATATGTATGTGCCAACTGGCACAGTGGGCAGCACAGGTGGTGCATCTGCCAGTCACCTCGGTCAATTAACCCGTTACATCTGGGTTTGTCATGTGACCTCCTGCCAAGCAGGCCTTCGACACTTCGTTACAAATTTGGCAACCTGAGCTTGATTCCCTACCACTGCTGCCTATCAGCAATACGAAATATGTGAACCAGCCTTCGGCATCCCCTAGGGTTTACTTAGCCTTAAATTGGTAAAGTGTACACACATCGGCACTAGGAAGATAAAAGGTTCGTGTTGGAGACACCCATCCCCTGGAGAGGCGCGTCATCCCTAATAGGTGCTCACTAACGGAACTTGCCCAACCAGCCTATGTAGGCTAAACATAGGATCCATTGTCTTTGCGTGTCGAAGTGACTGTGTGGCTATTTGTGCGACCCTGGGTGTGTGTGTGCGTATTGCCAGTCTTTATCAGCTGTGAAAGACGACGGTGTACGTGGATGCTTGTTGTTGCTGAGCACAGGAGGAGCAAAGGCACAAGATGCAATCGGCCAGCAACAAACGGTACTCTCAAAGAAGCAACAGGTACAGAGCTAACACGTCTCTTGAATTGAGTAAGGTTGTATGTATGTATGCATGTTTAACTTATTTTGCACCGTACGCAGCCAACCATGCTAATCGGAGAGGATATAATTAGAAGACGGGAGAAAATTCCCGAGCCGCTTTTGTCGTCCGCCAGTCGAACGGTGCATGCGTTTAGACGGGAGGGCCAGTGTGCGTGCGTGCATGGCCGCGCGCGTGTCCCAGCGGGGACCACCACACCTGCCGTCGCGGCCAAAGCCGCCATTGGTGGCGGCTTGAAGGGGACGACGTCTCTGCCGCCGGGAGCCGTGCCGGGCGGGGGCGGTAGCCTCCTCGGCCGCTCCCTCTGCGCCAGCGAGCGGGGCCGGCACAGCGGGCACAGGTAGTCGCGGCAGTCGAGCCCGGTCCGCACGCCGGACTCCTCGCACTCGGCGTGCACCATTCTAGAGCGACAAGCAGGTCCCGTCCATCCGTCAGTCCGGCAAGTTCCGAGTTTAAGAATTGACACCGCGGACGGGCGACCAGCTCTCGGCACACAGGGGAGCGAGCATGAGCCGTAGTCGGCTGCACAATCGTCAGTGCTGAGCAAACGCACGCGAAAACGCCACGCACGCGCACACACAGCCATGTGAGCCAAGGAATAAATGCACCTGCAAGGATGTAAACACACAATAACAGCTGCCGTATAATTTGTATGTTATAAAATTTAAATCTTGATGGTGCTATCGGTGTCAAAAGACGAGATATCCATCACCTCTCTCGCAGAGAGCAGTGAGAGCAACTGTTGGAGAATGGTCCAAAGAAATGGATATCACAGAGCTTCCCCTCCAGAGATCCCTTTCAAGTGACCACCGGTCCACACGGTAGAGGGCAGCGCCTCCCAAGTGCGACGTGTTAACGTGCCGTGGCGTCATCTCAGTGTAACTGCATCATCGTGGTGTACTGCAACATGCCGTGGTGTGACATAGACTGTCACGTGGTGCAGAGGAACGACGTTCGGTAGCATGTCGTGGTATGATGTGTCGTGGTATGGAGTGTTGTGGTACGATGAATCATGGTGTGGTGCAATGGCATTACGTAACAATTTGTGGTGGCACAACCGGTTTTAATTTAGTCGTCGTTTTGGCCTTCATAGTCTATCTACTCGATAACAACCGGTGGGAATTTAGTCAAGTTTTGCGTATTTAGTTTGGTTATTAACAGACTAAAATGGCTACATTAGTCAGCATTTATTTTAATAAATAAACACAATTTGCAGAATAAAATTCCACAGGTTGTCATTAACCAGCCAGACAACAACAAAAAAATCACGAGAATGTCCATTTATAGGTTTTGAATGCCCCAGCATTTCAAAGCACCTCACATCTCATGTAAATAGAGCCGTTTCTTTTCCTTTGTACGTAAGTTGAAATTATTTCGCCCCATACATAGCCAACCGTGCTGGATTAGGAGGTGAGGGCGAAGGACAACTAAGCCGAGGCCAGAGCACCGACTAAAGCAACAGCGGGCACAACGCATCAACGTCGCGGGGTGCGGTGTCGACTGCCGCTACCACCGACAGATATCCAGCGGCAGCGGTGCGGAGCGACCCGGCAGCGGCGGAGCCGGCGCCGTGCCCAACTCGGACCTCACCTGCTGCAGCGCTGGCACGCAAGGAGCGTGGACGCGGGGCGGCGGCCGTGTGCCCTTCCGCACACGGGGCAGGCGCGCCCGCTCGCGCGCTGCTGGTGGCAGCGCTCGCACAGCGAGTAGTCGCGGTGCCAGCGCGAGCCGGGCTCCGCGCCTGCCGAGCGCGAGCCGCAGTCGCTGCACGACCGGCAGTGCTGCGAGCGCGCACGGGGCAAACGGGCACACGCACACACGGCCATGTGTATACGAGCACCAGCTAGCAACACAAAGATAAAGATCCCCTTCATAGCCCGAACAGACTGTTCGGGCAAGTTCTGTTAGCGAGCGCCTATGAAGGCCGTGTATGGCCCACGAGGGTGTAGGGTGGCCGATACTACGCCCTACCGCCTTTGTCTTCAGAGTGGCGAAGTTTTTCCACACTCCACCAGGTGCTCATTTGAGGCTGAGTCGACCGAGGCGAGGCCCAGGAACGATTCGGATAATTGTCACTGGACTTGGCCGTGAGCGGCAATCGAACGCGGGTCGCCAAGTTCGTAGCGCTGTGCGCTCACCGCTAAACTACCGCTTCTCAGGCATTCACACACACAACAAGAACAGCTGCCCTTTGCGATTCCATGGCAGCGATGTTCATATGGTGCTTATGCTAGGCTAGATACACTTAAAGGACAACCATCCCACTTCCCCAAGGCAGTAGTTTTAATTCCCTGGAGTTATCAAACGGGATTATGAACGCCTGCCCCTTTAGGGCCTCCGGTACATGCTTAAAAGGGTTGCGTAATGTTGAGGTGTTTTTTTTTATTTCTCTCACACAAAGAAATTAAATACAAAGATCGTGTATCTTTGTACAACAGCATAGGCTGTTTGAAGAAAGTGCTCTCGGTGAGCACCTATTGAGGCTGGCATGGCAAGGGAGAAAGTGGTGTGGCCAGGACAGGTTCAGATATCACTTGACACAGCCGTTAGCCATCGAACTCAGGATTCTGGGTTCGTAGCGCAGCACGTTAACCACCACTCTTCACCCACCCACAGTCACATACAAGTATAAGGTTGAAACACACATGCGTATACTGTACATGTAAAGACCTGCAAAAAATTCAGACACGCAGGTGATACATTAGTGTATGAGCTCACAGGTGTGTGCTTATTGTGTTTGGTCTTATTGTACCACAATCATAATTACCAACAGTGTTCTAAATTAATCTTATATGAACTGATTTGGCCATAATGAGTTACAATTTCTGGCGATAAAGGATGGCAGCAATACAGTCTTGCATGTGGGAGGCTGCACTTTGCCATGTGTTGGCTCAGACCCAAGCCAATGACTGATTCGGTGAATAAATTACTGATTAACAGATGCCATATGCATGACATCAATGTGTTCCATTCACATGCGGCCAAGCCCGAACGTTGTGTACACAATAAGAATGGAACGTTACATAGCGGGATCTCAAAACGCCGTACAACAATAATCATCACATTTTAAATCAAAGCGGGGGGGGGGGGGGGGGCGAAAAAAACCCGACGGAAGGAACCCGTCTTTGGCTGTGACGTGCGCAAGCTTTGTTAACGAGCACGCAATCGGGCGCCTAAATCGCTGGATGTATACAATCGTTGCGCCAGCCAAAGCGAGTGGCATCGGGTTTGTGTGTACTTGAACTTTTTTTTACTTTTACTCGCCAATTATTTTCCAACTGTGCAACAGCAGTAAATCAATGACAGAAAGAAATTCCACTCTCATCGAAAGCAGTGCTGTCACCGCGAGTTAAGAGAACAAATAGCAAAAAAAAAACTCGCATTAATCAATGCAGAGGGACTGTCGACAATGACAAAAGGGCCATTAGCCCAAAATGTCACCCATCATATAATTATTCCCCCCCTCTATACGGTAGCATTATTGACGGATGCACATTGAGTTTTTGTTTCTTGTGCTCGTGCTCCACTGCCAGGTTTCAATCTCCTCGTATTAAAAGTGGGGGTAAAGTATGGGTGGACTCTGCCACCTCTTCCATGACAGCTGGCCCCTGTGCAAGAGAAGATTCAAATACCCTGAAGAGGTGCTTGCGAGAACCGCCTCCAGTGGAGGGCCTTTCATCAGCATTGCCATGAGCTGGCAAATGTGAGGGCTGCGCCTTGCATATTTCTGCAATCAAGGCTCAGTTCCCTGCACTCAGCTCATGTAGAATTGACGGGGCTCGGATGCTTAGGAATTGGGTGGCAGGGTGGAACAATGATAACGCTCGAGCCTCACAGCAAGAAGTGCCTGGGTTCGATTCTTGAATCGGGCGCCTTTCTCTACAGAGTTTGCAAGTTCTCTCTCTCTCTCTCTCCCCCCCCCTGTTCTGCATGGATTTCGTCCGTGTTCTCCGGTTTCCTCCGAAAGTAACATTTAATAAACACACAATGTAACTGGTATTGGCCAAACATCCCAATGCCGAAGAATCACCTGCAAATGACTCCAATTGGGATCACACACGGCAGCAACATTGCCCCCCTACTGATAAAACTTGGCAGGAGCCTCCTGCCCAAGGAGTCTTGAGACTAGGTGAGACTTTCCTGGGTAAAACAAGCAGGCGACAAAAAAAGGGCCCGCATGCGTGGGTGTCGTGCGTGTTTTACACACATGCGCGCAAGCGTGTGCGTGCCCCAGCTACCCACCTTGCACTTCCACGTGTTCTTGGGAATGGACTGCATGGCGGGTCGCAGGCAGTATGTGTGAAAGCCCTTGTCGCAGGCGTCGCACACTAGCATCTTGCTGTCATCGCCCGGCTGCCTGTACTCACAACCGCACCATTGCACTCACTCTTAACTCCGCGAAACTCATGCCGCACGATGTGTGGTGCATGTATGTATGTATGTTGAGCTTCTTTCGCACCGTACGTAGCCAACCGTGCGAATCGGAGGTGCGGTGGCTGGTAGAGCGCCAAGTAGGAACCACTGCTCTGCCCGTATCTATCGATGTCATTGGCTTTCTTGAGGCTAATCTGACTTGGGTAATTTTACGATTACATTGTATCCCTCCTACTACACTGTTGTCTGTTGGGGGTGCCACTAGCCCTTGAGACAGTTATGTCTTCGGCGATTATATGATTTGTTCTCCGATGCGTGCGTTGCTCTTTCTGTGTCTCAGTTTAATTCCCAGGCGTGTATTTCTTCCCCATTATTTTCCCTGCCTTTCGATATTTGTCCAAATGTAACGAAGAGACATTGCATCGTGATAAAAGTGGCCAAGATGTGTTGCTGGAAGGGAGGACGGCCGACAGAAGAGACTGGCGATGAAATGGCAGCCAAAGGAGAGACCACCTTGGCGAGGAAGCAATGACATTTTCTCGTGTGCAGGAGATAAATGGACCGTGACATCGCGATACTGTGGGTGATGGTGACGATGTGTGGAGGGGCCTTCATTCAGCAGTGGATTAATCAAGCTTGTTGACGAAGCTTTTATCTAGGAGAACTCACATACTGGCTTGTACATGCCACTGGACTGAGAGGATCCCCTGCCTACCGTGGCTGAATTACAAAATGGGACAGCACAACACGAACCACCACTCAGGCGCCTCACAATAATCATGTCCACAAGGAGGGCAGGCGATTGGCAAGGGAGATGTGTGCTAGCATCAATAACATTGGCCGTGATAACCGATTCACGTCTTGACCTTGACCATCATTAGCATTTACATACATTTCTTATTTGCTGTGAATGTGACACGGATCAACAGTTACTGACACATAGTTCTTCTCGGGGTTAAAATTAAATCCCTAGCACTAAAAGCTTCATATATAAACAAAAACTAAAAAAGATTTTAAAAAATCTCGATAGTGGTTTAAAAATAAAAAAGGGGAAGTAACATAAGACATTGACCGCCTATCACCGACGGATCAAAACGCAGTTGACTCAACTGACGCGCACGTAACGACAGCATCGATTCGCCAATACGTAGTGAAATGATGTGGTGTCGGAGGCTGATGCGACGATTATAGCAAATGCGCAAAGCTCCACAACATAGCCAAAGATCCCTGTGTAGTCTATTGAGATTGCTGGGGCAAGTGCTGTTAGCAACAACCTATGAAGACCGGCACGACACACGAGGGGGTGGGTGGCCAGCACCACGCCCGGCCGTCTTTGTCTCCACAGTGTAAATTTTGATACATCGTACCAGGTACTCACTTGAGGCTGAGTCCACCTAGGAGAGGCCCAGGACCGGCTCAGATAATCATCACTGCTGTTGGTAACCGTGAGCGGGAATGGAACTCGGGTTGCCTCGTTCATCATGCAGTGGGCTAACCGCTCCGCCACCTCTCCCCCACACGTGTGCTCGCACGCCCACATTCCTACATGCGTGCATATGTGCGTGCGTGCGTGTGTGCGTGCGTGTGTGCGCACTCTCGGACCTGCAGGTCTGGCAGATCTTGCACTCTGGGCACTGCCACCCGGCGCGGATGGCGGTGCTGGGCGCGATCTCGAGGCAGCGGCCGTGGTAGTGCTGCCCACAGCTGGTGCAGAACAGCTGATTGTGCAGCTCGCCCGGCTGGTCGCACACCACGCAGTTTGCCTCCTCGCCCGCTGCACACAGGCACAAACATGGCAACGCATGCGCGCACGTACAAGGTTCCACCTAGATTAGATTACTGCTCTTCATTTACGAGACAGAGCTCCCTCTGTCCGTTTAACACGTAGGACTTTCGCGACCAATATTATTGAAAAGGTTTTTTTGGGTTAGATCGCGTAGGGTATAAATGTGTCGTAACCCTCCACCACCCAACACGGCCAGTAAGGTTAGTCACGCAAACAACGCACCAATTAGTTACTACTTCAGCTACCGGTGTGCTGGAGAGTAAATCAACAAAATGTACAATTTGAGTATGAAGTTTCGCTGGTAATTACATCCAGCATCATCGGCCGATTTGCGAGAATAGTGAAGCAATCCACCTGTTTCCGGTCTTAAATAGAGCAAGATGCCATCACCCTCAACCCATCAAGTGCAGAGATCAGAGGCGGAGGAGTTTATTGTAATATAGTCGATTATTAATCAGTTAATTCGCATGCGTTTCCTTTATAAGGAATACATTTACTATGACTCCCTCTGTCCATTCGAAGCTCCACAATTTTAAAGCCGATTGTGCCACGGGGCAGCCCTTTTGTGTTAAAGAGAAAGGACCGTGGAAGTGGATGCCAAGGAAGCACGTCTGAGCGGGGCAACACTGCGGGACCGCTCACCGATGGTCACGGCCTGGTGAACGTGGTCGGGGCAGAGAAGCGCGAGGGAGCGGATGTCCTGGAAGGTGCCGGCCACGGCGGCGCACGGGTAGTGGTACATGTGCGAGCAGCTCTCCACCCAGCACTTGACGGTGGCACCCAGACGGCGGCAGTGCTGGCAGCGCTACTCGAGACGATGGGGGGGGTGGGGGGGTGGAGGGGGTGTTAGGGCAACGCTGGCTGCTGGTGTAAGTCCTGTTAAGGCAGTAACTATACGTAAAAAATGTACAAAGGTATCATTTTTTTAAAAACGCTAGAAGGTTTCCCACGGCTGACGCCACTGCTGATATATTTTGAATCTCAGTAATTAGTCTTGCTCTATAAGCCTCGGGCAATAATAATTCACCTCAAGAATCCCAAAAGGTATGAAGATTATAGCATTGCACGGTGTATGTTGATATATATGTGATGTCCCGTTTTTTGCCAGTTGCGTAATAGTACACCACTCAAGGCGATGTATTCCCATGTAGCTCTCCCCTATTCCGGTATTGCGAGGAATCTTTTTTTACACAATGTGCTCCTTACTCAGGCACTGTTCAAGACGGTGAAAGCAAAGGCTACCAAAATTGCAGGTCTTTGGTAATGACACCCGTGTCACTCGACTCATCATTAAACCCTTGCCTCGGGGACCGGGTTAGGGTTCAAAGCATTTGGGCATTCCCTTCACCAGCACACACGACCACTCAATGAGAAAAAAAAGCTGGCATTAACAAGACAGTTGCATTATAACTGTACTCTCTGTGCTTTGCGATGCCATCAAAAGAATATACTTTCAATTCGGAACTCTCATAGAGATGCAGGGTATTGTCATACACACTTAGAGAATGGCCACTGGGTAAAGGGGATATGCAACAACTACTTCTGAAGTTGCTTCAATTGCCTTTACTCCACACCAGTGGAGCTAGCGAAACCTTACTCGCGTGACCTGCCACGAGAGGCGTGATTGTGACATGGCAATTAACCCCATATGTTATTCCTCCGAGCTGAACATAAGCCAAATTATGCAATAGGGTATCATCCCATTGTTGCCACCTGCTTTGATTTTGTTTAACTCTGATCTGGGCAAATAAACACATCCCTCAATCCAATCCGAAGCTGTTTTGTGAGCACCTATAAATACATAGAGGCGGATTTGTGGCCAATTCCACACGCAAAAAAAATCCCCTGTATAGCCTTAGACTGTAGGGGCAAGTGCTGTAAGTGAGCACCTATGAAGGCCGGAATAGTACACGAGGGGGTGGGTGGCCAGCAGCACGCCTGACCGCCTTTGTCTCCCCAGTGGCGATGTATACACACCGCACCAGGTACTCATTTGAGGCCGAGTCGACCTAGGGGAGGCCCAGGACAGGATCAGATGATCGTCACTGGTGTTAGCCGGGTCGCCGGGTTCATAGCGCATTGCGCGAACCGCTACACTACCGCTCCCCACACACAACACAACACACGTGTGGCCAATTTGTTTCTGAAGACAGCCACATCACCGCGGCTTTTACTTTAGCCGAGCCAACGAAAACGAAGTCAGGTGTAGAGAGTATAAGATCTCACTGGTGAAGTGTCCCGTAGCTTTGGGTGCTGTGATTGTATTAACAGTGCAGAATGAGGACGGTGCTCTTTGTCCCGCACAAAAGTGCACGCCGGTCTCAGCGTGCGCTGTCAAGTGTGTCATAAGTCAGTGGCTGGAGTCTGCGATGTCTTGGTGTGGTTTCAGGGTAAGGGTTACGTTGCCAGCGAAACTGCACATCGATAGGGCTCCAGTGTCAGTATATATTTGGTCAATGTACGCGGTACAGCGGTGCCTGTGCTAACCCGCCAGTGTCAAGGGCACTGGCGTCAGGTGTGCCAGCGTCAGCGTGACGGTGCGTGGGTGTGCCGGTCACAGAACCGGCGTTGAGTCTTGAGCATCTGTCACCTGCTTCACGGCGGCCAGCACGGCGCGGTCCACGTTGATGAGCTCGAGCTCGGGGGAGAGGCACACGCCCTCCGACCACGCGGCGCAGCAGTGGTGCGCCCAGCAGTGGCCTGTGCAAGGACACGCGTCGCGACGCCACGACACGACCGCGAGTCGTTACCAAGCGACGCCGTGTGGCAAGCGTCGCGACGCCACGACCGCGAGTCGTTACCAAGCAACGGCGACGAAGTGTGGCGCGCGGCGCGACGCCACGACATGACGCGAGGCGTTGCCATGCAACCGCGACGCCGTGTGGCACGCATCGCGACGCCACGACACGACTGCGAGTCGTTACAAAGCGACGGCGATGCCATAAGGCGTCGCCAGGCGATGTGGACTGCAGTAAGCTCGCTCATAGTGGGAGGACCCCAAATGGACAGATCCGGTTGTCAGCGATGGTAAAAGTGAAAAGTCTCCGATGAAGTCACGGCGGTGAATAGACCGATGACAGTGGCAAGGGGCTTGGTGAATGGAGGTCAATTGATACACCCGCAGTGTAATGGCTCGCTGACGAGAGGTCACAATGCTGACTCCGGTGATAATTGATGGGAAGAGGTGAATGTTTGCTGATGGGAATTCGTGAAACAAACTCAAATGCTGTCTAAGTGCAACAGTAAAGAACAACTAATTACCCGTAGGCTTGAGCAGGTCCCGGATGGCTACATCATCCGGAAGTCCCACGCGCTGCAGCTCCTCGAGGGCACTGAGCGCCTGTGCCGGCGTTCGGCTACAGCAGCAAACAGCAGCAGGAGCACAAGGGGAAAACAAAAAAACCGCGTCAAGCCTTATTAGCCGAGGAGCAGGCAAGCGCTGCAAAGTGCAGGGCTTCTTAAGCGGCTGTGTAACGATGTTTGCATGGCCCTTCATGTGTGTGCAGTATGACTCGCAAATGCACGCCGATTCATTTATTGATTGTGCTCTCCCGCGTGCCAGCCCCAAAACTGTCTCTACGCTCGTTACAGTGGCACCAAGGAGAATTGCTGAATGTTAATGTAAAAGAATTGCAGTGGACAGCCACACCGATGACCACATCATTTATGGCCTTGTGTGCTTCCAACACACAAAATTTTCTGTTGCAAGTCTTTGAGATGTATCATTCTTCGTAATACCATTTGTGAATCTCGTGCTGTTAGTTAAGGTGGTTAGTAGAGGTGTCATGATTCCTCCATCCTTGTGATTTGATGAGCTGGAAAAATGTAGGGTTGCAATTCAATTTAAGTATTAATTGTGTGTTCTCTTCTAATTGTGATAAATGTAGTGGCCTCTCGTGGCAGCAGAGGTTACGCGAAGCCAATATATACATGGTGTGCAAAACAAAATTAACAGTATTATGACACGCACAAATTGACAATTGTATTGCGAGTGTATCCATATATTTTAACTCATGAAGCGATGAATAGTTACTGCATAAAGGCTACTAGATACATGCGTTGTTGGTGTGGCCAGCCACACACTTGTAGCCGCACCTTTGTCTAATTTAGTGCTGATGTGATGTGGGCACACACAACATACCAGCTTTTCATTTCAGGTTAAGTCAACCTCGCGGAGCCCCAAGCCTGATGTGCATCATGGCCAGAAATCGTACTCAGATTATTTGGGATCGTAGCGAAGGGCGCTAACATTATCCACTGTGACAGCTTTCCTTACATGTATGCCCAAAGACAACGATCTCCCTTTAGCCTGAACAGCCTCTTGGTGCCTGTGCTGTTGGCGAGCGCCTATCAAGACTGGCACGGCGCTCGATGGGGTGCGGAGGGCAGCATCACAACTGTCCGCCTTTGTATCCCTAGTGCTGATGTTTGCACACCCCACCAGCTAGTCATTTAAAGCTGAGTCGTACTAGGGTAGGCCCAGGATCAAATCATATACATATGCCACTGATGTCAACTGCAGCCAGGAATTGGAACTTGGGTTGTCGGGTTTGTAGCACTCTGTGCTAACCATGACTAAGCTAACGCTCCCCAGGTATGTCCGCGCACACACATTCACACGTACACCCACACGCATGTGCCAACAAAAATGAGCAAAGGTACTGCTACAATAGTATTTACACACGCATACCCCCACACACACAAGTACAAGCACGCAGGCACAGCCACATACGGACACACCCCCACACATAAGTATACGCACGCATATACGCGGACGAACACTCATGGCATGCTTGGCCCCTCTCCAACCAAAACAGCCTATCGAACCTAAGCCGAGAGCCAACTGCAGGCATCGAGTTACCCCCAAAACCTTCAGTGCACGCTGCTGTTATAGGGAAAGCACCTGACCATTAACTGCCCAGTAATTATGACGTTTATTATTATTGACGTTATACGCTTGGCCGGGAATAGCCGGTGTGCGAGCGCACTTGCCACCGAGCTAGTTTACATAGTCAGTGGTTTGCTTTTGAAACAACAATGATGCGCTCTTCGACAGCCAGGGTCCCCAAGGCTTAAACACCCAGCATTCTCAGCAGTGCCGGCACAGTGTCTCTTGACATGGCCAATAAATTTGCCCTCCAAGCCAGCAAAGCCACCATTCAAGAAGCTACCACCATGTCAAAGCAGCGAGCTGAAAATGCAAATGAGCAGCTACTCTTCATTAAACCAAGATGGTCTCGGACAGCACAAACCAAAAATATTACTTTAAATTTGGTTTGTTGCTCACGTCGGCTTATTGCAGCTCTGCAGAGTAAAAAGAAAAAGTAAAACTTGCTTATTGCCAGACGAGACCATTTTCGGAACAACCAATAAAGCTGTGCCTCCAAGTGTGGCTGGGACGCAAGGTGATGCACTGCTCACTGTGAGACTTGCTTCTTGCCACACCACACTGAAAGTGCAATCCTAATATAATTTAACACAACGACAAAACTAGTTACAAATCGAGTGGCAGTCCCTCACCTGTCCCTTGGTTTGCTGACGAGCGGCACACTCGCCGAAGGCGCCGGCGCTGGCTGCGAAGGCCTCCTAGGCGGCGCAACGGCAAGACTTGCGGTGGCGGTGCTGGCGGCGTCGGTGGCACCACCAGCCGAGGAGACAGCAGCGGAGACTGGGGCAACGGCGCTTGCCCCGGCAGTGCTCGTTGCGTTGGTCGTGGCGGTGACGGTGGCCGTGGCGGTGCCGGCAGCGACACCGGCGGCGGCACCGGTGGCGGCACCGGTGGCGGCACCGGCGCCCTTCTGCGTCGGGTAGTGCACAGGCGTCAGCAGCCCCGGGGTGGCGTTGAAGCGCTTGAGCTCTCCCTGGCCCAGCGAGCTCTGCTCGTCGCGGTTGCAGAAGACGCAGCGCTCATCCGTCGGGCTGCGCACGGCACACACGCCGCTCCTCATCACCACGACCGTCGGCGTTGTCACCGTTGTCGTCTTCCTACAGGGCAGTCCGTCATTGTTATGCGGTCACCACTTACGGAAGAGTGCCCGCAAAACAACACTCGTGTGGAATCAACCGGATGCTCTGGGCAAGCGCCAAGGATAATAAACTTACATCAGGGATTACACGCATGCCGATGGTTAAATCGTAAAAACATGGCCAAGTGCCAAACTTTGTCATTGTCATGGTCGTGTTGCCATCACCGTTACCAACAGGCACGTAACAATGCAATCTCCCAAAGACTCGATCAACTGTGACAAGTGTACGGCGGAATTCAATTCAGGAATTCATTACTTTGTGTGCTGTTTTTACCACCACCTTTTTCCTTCATTCTGTCCCGCTTATATATTTTTGCCCATTCCATCAGGCTACGTGTACAGCGTGTGTTTAATTTGAAAGCAATGTAAATAAACGGCTCTCTTAAGAGCTTTGCTCTTTCTTGCCATCATGCTTGTTCAACTTTCGTTCCATTTTTTCTCATCCATAACCCTATAAATAAGCTTAACAATTGCAGTCAACCAGTCATTGCTTGCCAATGAAAAGCAATATCAACCAGATGTCACCTGGTTAAATAAAGGACAGCATTAAATGGAGATGGAATCGGGGTCGCAGACCGTTGGCTCTTACCCACAATAACACGTATGGTGTCAACAGGCAACGCAGGGGTTACATTTATGTTTTTCTTCAAGACGACACACTCTGACCGAAGTGATTAAGAAAGTTGAAACCGCTCCAGGGTTTGCCTGCTTAAGATAAATGTTTTTGGAATAAACATTAGTCCAGAAGGCCCTTTGGCGAGATTAACCTACATGCGATTTTGTTTCTTTGCCAGTGAAACGGACTATTGTTCATTATTTTTTTCTCTTTATGACCTTTGGGTTGCATTCAGCTTTGGCTCCCAGCATTTCAACCCAAGTTCATCTGCAGCACCAGACCAGCCAACAGCTATGCCCGCCGTATGTTATTCGCAGGACTGAGCGTGTAGCACTCCCTTGAATGCAATTTCTGTTGAATTTTTTACACCGTTGTCAAGAATTAAGTCACATGAACAGAATTATTTTACAGCACTTGAAAACGTCACCCTTTTTTTTTCTAAATCTCACAGGTAGGAGTTAATAATGTTTTTTTTTAAATACGAGAGACTTTGAATGCTGAGCACATGCTGGGTTCAAATGAGGACAGCGAACCCAACTTTTGTTAAAGAATTGCTTTTTATATTTAGTTTGTTGTCCTTCCCCTGCACCTCCGATTAACACTGTTGGCTACGTACGGTGCGAAATAAGTTCGACATACCTACATACATCCTTGGCCTAAAGTGCTGCGAGTTCAATGGCTACGGCACCAACGCAAATTATTGTACATTAATTTAAAAAAAAATATTACTATACAATTTTGTGTGTCACTTAACAGAGCTGAGGACAGGTCTGAGGACTACGAATTTGTAAACACGTTTCGGCTGATAGGCACGCAGTAAACCCACTCCCTGCCAAACTCGAAGGAACAACGCCTAGCGACGAGTAATTTCCCACTCACTCACGCGCCACTCACGCACTCACGAATGGGGGAGCATCTATTGCCATTTCATCGAGCCAATCTCTGTACCCCCCCCACCATAGAGCAGGAACAAAACAGCATTCCCATGACAGACAAGTTATCATTAGGACAATGGCTGTTGACTTCCACCAAAGAGGTATTTGTTTCACGGGCTACCGAGTGGTGACGGTCGGCTGAGTCGACCCCTGAGCTGGGATTTTATTCCGAGATACAGTTGCTGAGCACAGGCTCAAAACATCACGTGAACTCGTAGGCTTTCGCGACCAATATTATCCATAAGAGTTTTTTTGGTGAGATCACGTACATATGAATGTGTCATTAAAACCACCACCATACGACACAGCCAATTAGTAAGGTTTGTCACGCAAACAAAACGTGTCATTTGAATGTGCGACCAGCATTAGATTTGTTAACGATATTAGTAACCAAAAATATTCGCCAACGACTTGTTTTAATTTTAATTGTGTTGGAGAGTAAAACCCACAACGTTACCATTCGAGTATTAAAACATCAAGCGGCCAGCTACAAACAAGCACAATCAAAGTAGCAAAAGATATAACAAAAAACAGATTTCTTCAATTGAGAAAGGTTATTAAAAGAGCTTGGGGAAAGAGAGACAATGGGATTCGATCCCAAAGTGGGGCAGTGTGGGAGAATAAGCAGGAAGAGCGATGCTGTGACCTGCGGTGTGGTGGTTGAACACAGTAGGGAGCCAGTCATTTGAATGTGCGACCAGCGTTAGATTTGTTAACGATGTCAATGACAAAAATATGTCAACGAGTTGTTTTTGTTTAATTTTCGTTAAACGATGACCGCGAGTGGTCGGAAATCATTGAGCGTGACGATGACTACGACCGCTGCCCACCAGAGACCAGAGCACAACGATGACAAGAAGAAGGCAACGAGCCCACGACATAGACTAAGATCATGTAGGAACGTTATTAGAAAATGCAGTGCACAGAGGAAGACCAAAGATGGTAATATGTCTATATAAAATAATTAACTGATTGGCTGATCTCAATATTAGTAAGGCGGGCTGGGGGGGGGGGGTTAAATGATGCACCCAACATTTAATAACAAAGAATGGACTACATTTTGATCACTTTAGTCGACCAGACTAAGATCATCACAAAATGAAATCTCAGGCTGTCGTCGGCTAGACCAGGACTATAATTTTTTTATTTAAAATGCTGAATAAATTGCCGCTGCAGGTGACCTTCTGATTATGAGCCATGCGCTCTAAACCACTGTGCCACCTGGCCAGATATTGAGACATCGTCATCTTTCAAGGCCGTTACCTGGCATTCCATTAAGATGTGGTGCCTGCAGGAGTTCCAGAAGGACGTTCCTTCACCTCGAGACTTGATTAATAGTAAAAAAATGAATATAATATTCATTCGAATGAAATACTACAGGTATTAAAAACTACTGCAGAATATCAAGCTCTGCTGAGAGCCTACACAACAGCCTGAATACTTACATTTCAAAGCCAGATTTTCTGTTACCGTTGGGACTTAATTTTATTATATTCACAGCCATTGACCATGACGGCTTCAAAAGCTAAAGCGTACTTAAAAAAAAAACTCCATATTTTTCCTAAAAAAATGTTTGTTCACATAATTAGCTTTTTTTGAACCACCTTGTGACTTTTAAATTTGTTGTTTCTTTTTTGTTTTTACATCCAACTTAGCCAGCTCTAAAGAAAGGCAATTGCATAAGTCAAACGTCAGTCTTCCAATGTGATGAAGAAGGCAAGTGATTATAATGATGATTACGGATTTAAGATTCTTCTTCTTTCGTATGGCTGAAGATGCAGAGCAACACCAACGTCACATTTAGGTGGCCAAGCCAGACAACCACGTCATGAGCAGTAGCCAGACAATTTCTGATTGAAGGTAATGCTTTGTGACAATGACTCGCCTATATATATTGCTTTTCCCCGCATCTCCAATTAGCACGGTTGGCTAAGTACAGTGCAAAAGACGTTCAACATACATACATACACCCTATATCTTTAGTACGTCATATAGTTTTTGTTCTAGATATTATCTCTAACATCCGAATAACACAAACACACATGCACCAGTGACCAAGTAACCAATTAGAGCCAAACAATTAACACTAAATAGCACAAGTTCACATGCACACCACATCACCACACTGACATGAGAGACAAAGACCAAGTATTAAGTATCCTAAGTAACGCCACAACCCATGTTTAATAGTCTTAACTGTGTGACACCGGCACATTTCAGACTAACCGAACCTGCCACGCATATCCCTTTATCACTGGCACATCTGAGCCGTTGCCAGCGTGGGGCCCTCTTGGTATTGGGTATTTACTCACTGGCTATTTGCCGAGCTGGCTATTTGTCGAACCAGAACCAAACTGTGAGGCTCTGGCCTCACAAAAGACAATTAAATCCGGCTCGGGGCCAAGCAGGGCCAGGTGCGAGGTCATCGGACTCATTGTGTGCGATGTCAGCGATACACGGCTTTGGTTCTGCAGTGCAAAAACAAACACATTTTACCAGGTAAGGCCCACTGAGCTATAGAGCTCTTTTTCAGAAGCACAGTGGCCACAAATGGTAACCTCAACGAAGTGGCTTATCATTTGGGAATTCATTGCAGCCAAATACTATAAACGCAAGTCGATTCTAAATGTGAAGGGAAAAACCTGAGGACCCATAGAAAAAAAACCACACGACCGTGGGGGGGAGAGAGACACGCAAACTTCAAATATATAGGCGTCAGGGTCGGCATCGACTCAAAACCTGCATATCAGGCGAGAACGATAACATCTCGCCACCGTGGCACCCGAACAACCTGCATCCAGCCGAGCTGTGCCGGGGCTGGCTAGGTGGGCATGGCCTTGACGCTGCTCGGCCACGATGGGGGTGGCGCCTCTCACCTCTTTGGAGTGGCGGCTTCGTCCCTGGACTCCAGCTGCGAGGGATTTTTGGCACCGAGAAAGACGACGGACGCCCGGTCCACCGCTGGCTTCCGCTTCACGTCTGTAGCGACCGACAGAGCGGCGGAGTCAGCGTTGTTGGCGTACGCGGTCGGCGCACGCCGTCAAGAGCGACGGCGGCGGTTCGCAGCGGTGGTGGTGGGGGTTATGGTAAAAATTACGGTGGTTATGATAGTAAAGGCGGCCAATGTGGTGTAACGTATGCGTTGAACTTCATTTGCACTGAACGTAGCCAACCGTGCTAATAATCATTATTGCACCGGTGGTCATATCGGTAGCGGTGGTGTCAGTGGTTAAGGTGGTGGAAGCCGACGCGGTGCTCGTAGACAAGCTGGTGACTGTTCATTGCGGTGGGTCATGGCGGTGACGGAGCTACCGCCGTCGCCGTCCTCGCCATCATCGTCGTCGGCGTGTTACCTTCCTGCTCCGCCTCGTCGTCGCTGTTCTCCTCGTCGTCCTCCTCCTCATTATCGTCGTCGTCATCGTCGTCGATGACGAACACGCGGCGCACCTTCCGACGCGACCTGCACACGCACGACACAGCCGGGGCAGGGGCTCGTTACTAACGGCATTGTCCCGTTGGGCCAAGTTAGACTGCCCGGTCGCAGCAAGCACAATCCAAATGGAGGACGGAGCATCTCCTTACACAAGGGCATGCAGAAATCCCGCAATAAGGATTCGTCAGCGCCTTCAAACATGCATTTGTCCTCGGAAGCGTTCGATTGGAGATGATGATGTGTTCCGAGGCGCGCGCATGACTTGTGATGTAGAAGGAGGACGTTGCAAGTAATGAAATCATCGCTTTGGCCGCCAAGGGTGATCAGTTTCGCTTTAGTTTGTTTTTTGAAAAGTTGTGGGCAACCCTTTGATCAGTTTGGTCAGTTTTTTATATACACGGTACTTCTGAGTTAGAGCACAACTTTATCCTGATACTTTGCTCACGACTCGTCTTCACTCGCATTATCGTGATTATAAAAATATCCACCGCAAACGACTGAATTGGGATGATCCACAGCGATCATCGCCCTCCAAACAGCAGACTAATAATGCCGCAGTCCATCTTGCAAATGAGACTCATCCTGGTCTCTTGCTTTCTCACCTGCTTAAACAAATACACTTGCAATATGAACTAGACCCCCCCCCCCCCCCGAACAGATGGATGCAAAGAGCTAATGCATTAAGAATTTCAACTTTAACTGGAATGCGTTAAATGCCGTGGCTTAATAAGATATGGTACTTCACCCATCGCAGCTCTGAGGATAAGTGTTAAGACGAACTGGATGATTGGCACACAGCGAGCCACACTCTACAAGCTAAAAGCAGTGCTGTTTGACCCCTGTGGAAGTGAACAAGGTAATGCATCCTCCTGCTATTCCAGGTTTCAAGTTTGTTGTGTTTAACCAGGTAAAAACTAGGGCTGAACGATTTGGGGAAAACATCTAATTGCGATTTTTCTGACAGATATTGCAATTGCGATTTGACTCAGCTGACAAGGGCAATGCTACTGTCATCATGGATAAAATAGAATACAACAACAAAATTAAAGAATTACTCGACGATGGTAGTTATACAAAAATAAAAAGAGATCCCACCAACAGCCTCGTCACACAAACCAACAAAATAATTTCTGATTTAACCGCATTAATTGATCAATCTAAACAGTTTTCGTTGAAACCCTCTGCTGCCAGGCCACCAAGATTATACGGCTTACCAAAAATACATAAAGTAGATACACCCCTTCGTCCCATCGTCTCTACTATCAACTCCCCCACCTACAAACTGGCTCGTTTTTTGTCTGAAATCCTGCGTCCTTTCACTGAAAAAACCACCTCTGCGGTACAAAATTCTACTCACCTGGTATCGACAATCAAGGGTATTTCCCTGTCCCCAGACGACCTGCTTGTCAGTTTTGATGTAGTTTCCTTATTCACCAAGGTTCCTGTACCTGACACCATCGCAATCATTGAAGACTTGGTTCATCAAGGACTAAACACTGAGGTACCCCCCCTGGTGAGACACTGTTTAACCAATACATACTTCACTTGGAATGGAACTTTATACAAACAAACTGAGGGCACCCCAATGGGCTCCCCCCTATCTCCGGTTATAGCTAACATTTTCATGGAGAAATTTGAGACTGACGCCATCCAGACTGCCACTCTGCGCCCAACCTTATGGAAGAGGTACGTGGATGACACTTTTGTCATCTGGCCACATGGCCGGCCTGCTCTAGACCAATTCTTCGACCACATCAATTCCATACACCCAGCCATCAGATTTACCATGGAAGTTGAAAAAGATGGCAAGCTACCTTTTTTGGATGTCCTAATTAAAAAGAGACCTGATGGTTCAATGAGCCACTCTGTCTACAGGAAAGCTACCCATACGGATGCTTATCTGAAACCGGATTCCCACCACCATCCATCACAGAAGAATTCTCTCATCAAGACTCTGTATCATAGAGCCCAATGCATATCCGACCAGGAACACATAGGCAGTGAACTCAAGCACGTACACCAAGCTCTTAAGGCTAATGGTTACTCCGACCATACAATCCGCAAAGCTATCACTCAAACCATGAAGAAGGACCCTCTTGAGGAGCCTTTCAAAACCATCACTTTACCCTACATTGCGGGGATCACAAAAAAGATCAACAAAATCTTGAATAAACACATGATCCAGGTCCGTTTCAACACATTACATAAAATCCGTGATGTGATTCCGGACATACAATACCCTGGTGTCTACAAACTAAGTTGCCTCTGTGGTAGTAGTTACATTGGAGAAACCAAACGCCATGTCTCGGACCGCATTCGTGAACACAAAGCAGACCTTAAACACGGTAGGACCAACACCTCGGCCGTGGCAGATCATTGTTATAATTCAGTAGGCTCACATGACATTGACTTTTCCAAGACAGAGGTTCTTTGTAAGCCATCTGGCTACCATGAGAGATTCGTTCATGAGGCTATCCACATATACAAGCACAGAGACAATTTCAACCGAGAAGATGGATTCTGGCTTAGCAATCATTGGAAAGATTTGATAAACCATTTCAGGTCCTAATTGATTGTTCACGCTTACAGTGGCTTTCAGACAGCATACATTAAATTTTTCGTCTCCCCCCTCCTCTTTTCAGAACATAGATGGACTAGTCCTTCAAAATAAACTGCCAAATCGCTGCGCGTGGCGCTAACGGGTTTTTAAATAAATAAATAAGACGTTTTAAAATAAATAAATTTATGCAAACCGACACACCTGATGACGACCGTTTGTGTTATGGTCGAAACGTCGTGATAATTTGTATTGTTTTATATATTTTATTATTTTATTGTTTCCCTTCAACGTGACTTTACCGAAAGAACTAAGAATATGTGATGGAGCTTTACCACATGATACCATCATAATATGAACTGCTCTATATATTCTAAAGCAAGGATGAGAACGTAAAAGATATTAATTGCTTCCAACATGTACTTAAACTGTTTTTTAATTGAAACAATCAAACATAGAACAATTGTTGAGTTAAATAAATACAATTATAATAATAAGAAATCTAACAATTCGAATAAGACAGTAATAGGACTTATCAAATCGCAAAAAAAATCGCGGCATTTGCGATTTGCTAATCGCATTGTTTCAAATTGCAATTTCGATTTGAAATCGATTAATCGTTCAGCCCTAGTGAAAAAACTCAAGAGACCAGGATAATACATACTCTTTGGTTCTATTGGGTAAAGTCACGTAGGTGAAAATAAAATAACAAAAAATCACACGACGTTTCGGCCACAACACAAGCGGCCTTCATCAGGTGAAGGGACGAGACTGTCTGGAGGACAGCGCTGGAGTGGAAGAAGCCACGCTTAGATCACGACCTTTAAGCTGTGTGAGAAGAAAAAGACCACGCGCCTTGACAAAGGAATTAGCATATAATTTAGCATTGAAATGGCTCATTGAAATAGCTAAGTTAAAGTATACACATCCGCAGAGGTACCCCTTGACAAAGGAATTAGCGCTGCTTGACAAATGATAAGACTAATTTGCAAAACTGATCCTGGGGCATGAGTCTGCTAATAGGATATGATGATTGCTATGTAAAGTCCCAACTGATGAACACAACAGGAAGCCCTGCAAACTTTCAGACCTCCGGACATTAATTTGTATCAAAAGATACCGACAGCACCGGCTATATACAACCGTTGATAAAAATACAAATGAAAAAAAGCAACAACAACAAAAACCTTAATTCTTTTTTTGATCAATATATTTTATATTTCCAATCATCTCTACAGAATAACATTTTACCAGTGAAGAGATGTGACTTTGTTTAAGGTGCAATATAACCTAAAAGCCAAATCATGTTTATATTGTAGACATTTACTTTTCAGAGCTGGACTACAGCCAAATGAAAAGTGGAGCTGAATTTAATGCGAATGGTTTTATTGTGCAGTTATTGGTGACTGGGCTCTGTTCATCCACTGACTCCACTTTTAAGAATGTGGTTTAATGACAGGCAGTCACCTGGATTTGAACCCAGGATCTCAGCAATACAAGCCCAGCACACCTCTCTATGAGAGGTAATTTTTGGGCAGTGGCTTTCAGCCATTCAACAACAGTAATAATTTATAAAAGTCTTTGTTGGTGGATGGGGACAATGGATTTTTTTTTATACATACGACAAATGATGAAGCCGAATAGATTTGAATGCACACAATTGCGGCCAACCAAAAACCAGCTGCGATAACAACAATTGCACACAATACCCACACATCTTTTACCACCTCCCCAAATCAATGCTTGCTAATTAGATAATTAAATGCCCAGTATAAAACAATGCATTACTTTTTGTGTGTGTTTTAATGGGCCACTGCAAATTCCCAAGATCTATTCATACCTGTCTGGAAAGGCATGGCCACAAGCTTAAGTGTCAGATGGGAGAAAGGTGAATGGAAGGATGAAAAGTTGAAAACGGTATTGAACGGCTCTCCTATCTTAAATACAGTGTTGAAAACTGGAAACAAACGATCATGTCATTTAATATTAATGCAAATTACTTATCCGGGAGATCCTAACTTGGTCTCCAGACCATTTGTCACACGGGCCCCTGGCTAAATTGTGATGTCTGACCAATTCTAATCATGTTTGGTTGCACTTAAAGAGGAAACCAGGGAACCTCGTGAAATTGTGCCAAACAAAAGAAGGGGGGGGGGGGGGGGGGGGTAAACAATCAGTCCCGCCATCTCCTTGGACAGCTTGCAGCTTAATATCCACAAATCCTGGTGGTCAGTCATCCAAGAATAAACACCAGGCTCAAACCTGCTTAGCTTTTGACATCCACCTAAATCGCATTGGCTTATCGTGGGTTGTACGGTCGCATGAAGAAAACGGTTATCACAAACGCATTCCCAAACGGAGTAAATTACTGTTTGCATGCAGGATGCTTGCATTATGGGAGTTTCATTTCAACGGTATGCAATGCACACATGAGATTATATATGCCCTGATATTACATTTCTGGTTGCGT